TATACATGTCTATTCAGCAATAAGTTGCCATTGTATTAAGGGATACACTATAAGAAAAACACACTTATGGTATCTTCTGTTTATTTATTCAAAAACACATAGCGCAAGGATGCTTTGTAAATAATGTATTTTTATGATTACAGTATATGATTTAGTGTGTCATCCTTTTAGGTGGCTCTTGAGTTGCTATGATGAAGTGCTCTTGGTAAACACTGAGTATACCGAATCCATTAAGTGTAATAGGAAAAGTGAAACTCTGAGAGATTCCAAAAGTGATGTTTTTCAAGGGAAATTTTCTTATACAAATATAAATTTAAAGTGCAATTTACTTAGATTTAATTCTACAGTTCTTCATGCCTCCTTGTCCATATATTAGTTGGCTGTTTCATCTGCATTCTAACAGCACATAATGTTCATGTTGTAAGGAATGGTCTAATACAAAACATTATGCTCAATGAGTGAGTATAGGCTCTCCTTCCCAAATGTTAATTGTGATAAGGATCACAGTCAAAACTGATGGATGATACGAGTTGTGTTCCAGCAAGATATGAAGGACAACATTTTGATCATCTCTGATTCAGAGAAGCAAGGAATATAAACCATTAATGTGAATAAAATTAGAAGAAAAGTGGCCATCAGCCATTTCTTCCTCCTATATCTGTAGTTAAGGGTGCAGAATGTTCAGAGTTCTTAAAATACCTGGTTTACTAATTATCACATGATAGCTTGGCTCATAGTAAGGGAATTGCATTGCATGTAAATTTTTAAGATTGAAGACTTTCTGCAAAAAAAAAAAAATATCTCTCCATTCTAATTTTGTTCTTGTATCAAATAAGTACTTAATCTACAGAAGAAAAAGAAGTATGGAGGTCTAGTAGTTTATATGCTTCTTTTAGTGACCAATGTCAGTTTATATGTTTCTGTTAGTGATCAATGCAAGCTGAAAAGAATGACCAAGATGACAATTCAATCTTACATGATCTATGAGTTCTTTGACCATCCCATTCCATTCTCCTTTGTCATTCTGGGCTCCATATTTTCCATCAGATACTAGTTTTACTTCATAGATGAAGCCTAAAATACTTGATAACTCCTTCAATAAATCCAGGCAGTAACCTTCAAATCGATCATTACCATAGAGAGGTTTGTCAGATTTCTTGTACATGACATAGGGATCTTCCTGTATAAAAATACATAAGTAAAACCAGCTATTTTTGAAATACAGAAAAAGATTAGTGATATGCTAAAAAGTACATATGCTTAGCTTAATATTAACATTTTATCTGAATCAATTATGTGAAACAGAAACTCTAGCTTGATTTGTTTTCTGAGGTCATCACATAGCTAAATCTGATTAAGATAGTAAAAAGGAAACCAATTTGCAAGGATTCACTGCTCAATGTATTTATTCACACACTAAAAACAAACAACTGAAAATTTTAGGATGTACTAAATCATACAGTTGCTAGGATCACCGTATGGTAATTAAACCCAAGTTATTAAACAAGAGAAAACTCTATACTCAAAACCACCTTGAGGTTTCCTGCCTAGTTGTACAGTATATGGAACAGATAATTAAATAGGAAACACTGAGATAGTGTTTTCTAAGATTAATATTGTTATTGTGGTATTAAGATGTACTGCTGCCCAAGATTCAGCAGCATGTGGTCATTCACTCACATTAAGGTGCAACCATATCACCCTGGTAAATAACATGGAAAATCCTACATTAATTTGTCAGTTCCTCCAGTAATAAGAAAATAATAATAATTAAGAATTGCTGATCTTTCATGAAAGATCTAAGCTTGTTGTTTTAGATGGATTCATTGTTTGACATTGCAGTAAGTTATATGTTTTTAGTACCAACATACCATAGAGCCATTTCACGCAATGTTTAAAACATTTTAAAAACATAATAAATAAAATGAGTTAAATTCTAAAATAGCCAAAGTCTGACGAGATCATACTATATATGAGAATCTTTCAAGAATTGGGTAATTTATGAGTTATTGACCATCTTAACATTCTTTGTTTTTTTTTTTAAGGGATATAATAACCAGTGATATTCCTGGGCATCAGACTGTCAACCTCAATTTTATATATAGTGTATAGCCATTATTGTTCAGAGGTAGATTACAGACACATCTATTTCTTTTCATTTTCTTCTCAAGATTGGTTTCTCAAACTTGGCTTCGAAATAAAACATGAACACATTTCATCACAGACTCAAACACTACTTCTATGTTATAATGCATTTGCTTTAAACAAATAAGTGAACTTGCCTAAATAGTTTGGAAACACGATGAAGTTAGGAAGAAAAATAGGAACATATGCTCTAGAAATGTGGGGTTTATAAAATATAGAACAATTTCATCTGTGACAAGATTTAGATGATTACCTCAGAGTATATGTGCTGCTAAATTGTATGTGTGACATCTACAAGGGTTTATGCTTACACTATTTAAATCCCCAATTCTTGTGACGCTGGTACTACAGGACATTGTACTGAGAGCATCTGTAATATAAGTTTGTGATTAATTAAAAAACATGTCTTTTTTTAATTAGATAGGCTATTAGCAAAGCAAATATTATCTGTAAGAAAAGCAAAGAAAACTAACCAGAAAATATGCCAGAACTTACCAAAATAGTGGTGACTATGAGTGTCCGGTTTGCTAGTGAATCTGTTATATTGGTAGACCGGTCTTTATTGCTGTTAGTCATATTAAGGCCACGGTTTGAATTCCAAATCCCAATCTATATAGAAGAAATTGGATATATGACTGCTAACCAGTAATTTTAGGAAAATGTCTTTATACAAATGAATGTGTATTATGGATCTGTTGTGGAAATGTTATGATTCACATCACAGCAGCAGACTAAAACAGCAGCCATAACAGATACTGAAGGCATGGACCAGACATATTTGAAATTACCAATCTAGAAAATGATGGATTATCAACACAATAAATTACATGAAATACACTGCTGAGATGGGATTAATTATAAGGGAGTGATGTTAGTTGCATACTAGTTACCAGAACTACTTTGTCTTAGAATACATGAGTTTTACATGTTGCTTTTGTCTTTTTAATGAATGTTTTGAAAATGGAAAAATGAAAACCTGGTTTTCATAAAACACACTAAGAGTATGCTAACAGGCATAATCACTAATCTTTTTCTTCTCTGCTGAAAGCAGTGATTACTTGACTATTCTAATGATGGAATTAATAAAATGATCACTGATCAATGACACTTGGAAAATTGAGGCTGAGTGGGAAAATTGAAGCCGAATTAAAAAAGAGAGATGATTTCCCAACTTCTTGACTAATATTTACAGAACATTATAAATGATTTGGCCCTGAAGAATTTCAAGGGAACATGACACTATCTAGTTGTGTTAATTGAAATTACAAAATGGGAATGGCATAGTTATAAAATCAACCTTACATAATTTCATCTTTAAGTTTAATGGTATTGGAGTATAATGGAATTGTAGCACAGGAACCACAGTATACTATAGTTGGCAATTATTAGTCAGTTATTCTTTTTGCAGTGTAAACACCAGCTTCAGGGGAGATTGAGCAGCATTAGGGGAAAAAGTGATTATTCTTGGCTATTCTTGGTTATAGTAGATAAGGGAGATCCACCCCAGGCACTATTTACATTGACAGAAAAGGCTCCATTAAGGTTATTTACTAATACAAATAACAAGACTGGAGGTCTTTTTGTTCAGATGAAAGGAATAATTTTCCATGACTTATATTTGCTTTAAAGATTAATACCATGATTTCATAAATGTCATATTTCAGTGAGTGGGTGAATTTTTACAGATATAAACAGGTTGAATAACCATTTATTACCTAGCAAATAGGGAAACTACATAAGAAAGGGCAATTAATCTGTCAAAATCATTCCTAGGTTTTAAGAGTTAGAAGAGAAACTGGAGCAAGGCATAAAGAAAGAAATCAGAAAAACAGAAATGTTTTCAGAAACTTACAGTGAAAAATGACAATTATCCAGTTCATGATTAACCATTAGAGCAGATCCCTCAAGGATCAGCCTATTGCCACAGCCGAAGCAGATTAATGAAATCACTTTTGGGAGGCAAAACTATAAATGCTAAAATTAGACAATGGACATATCTCTTCCATAAAAACACTGAGCACCCACCTGATCAGGTTTATAGTTTATATGTTTATACTTCATGCCTATGAGATCTTTACTGAGATAACCAGTGATAGACTCATTTCTAAGCTTCCAGAAAATCATTGTAAGTCCGTCAAATAAGACACATCTGAATCTATCGTATTTTTCGGACTATAAGACGCACCTTAGTTTTTGGGGAGGAAAATAAGAAAAAAGCTGATTGGTGGGTGGATCGGCGTCCCAGAATACCCCCAATCAGCTGTTCCCAGAGGTGAACTTTAGCAACAAGTTCATTGGTTGTGAGTTCTGTGCCTTGCTTTTTTTTCAGCCTCTGAAACCTCCCTTTCAGAGGCTTTTTTCAGCCTCTGAAACTTCCATTTCAGGGGCTTTTTTTTCAGCCTCTGAAACCTCCATTTCAGAGGCTGGGTGGGGCTACATTCAATGTATAAGACGCACCCAAATTTTCACCCTCTTTTGGGGGGGGGAAAGGTGCACCTTATACTCCAAAAAATACAGTACATTTTGTTGAACAAGTAACATAAGACACTAGTAGATCTTCAAGAATATCATTATTTAATGTTTTCACCAGGAAAATGACATAATGGCTCTCTTGACTGATCACAAAAAAGATTCAGTATAAATCAAGTTAAATAACACCAGAATTAGAAATCATGAGATTATACAATGTATATATAGCAGAAAATATAGTTGTCAACAAATTACCAGGATAAAAGAGACAGTGAAACTGCAAAAAAAAATATTACAGTAATTTTTTTTTTAAAAAAATAGGAAGTGGATAGAAAGCGCTACACAAGGGTCCTCCAGCATAGTGAATATAATTAAGAAAAAACATAATGAAATGATTTCAGAATGGTGGAAAAAGTATATTAGAGATTAGCATGGTGCTAATTGAAATGAATTCTATAAATGTTAATGTCAAAACAAAATGATGAAAATAGTCATAAATATTGTGAGGAGGTTAAAATAATTTAAGGATGCATGTGTTGACAGTGTAACTGGAGAAACGTTAAAATATTTTTGCTTAAGGAGAGATTATTCAGCATGTATCTCAAGCCTGTATCTATGCTTGATAACTAGAAGAATGCTGTTATTCTCTCACATGAAACAAAATGTCACAAAGTTGAATACAGAAATCATAGACAGATTTATTTATTTTATTTATATGTCTGCTAACAAAGAAACAGAGTTTGGGCAGTTTACAGAATTTGCATAATAAAACAGACAAAATCAGAATAAAGGTTATTAAAATAATGAATAAAATAAAAAGTAGAATTCTATAAAGTAGGGGCTAAATATAAAAGCTTTTTTTCCCTGCTTCTGGAAAACTATGAGAGCGGGAGTCATATGAACTTTAGAGGAAAAACTACTCCAAAGGGGAGCTGCTACAGAGAATGCTCAATTATTATCATTTCCCCTCAGATGAAGATGATTGTTTAGGTAGACCAGGAAAAAGATTTCTTGTTTGATGTACTAATTGCCATTTGATGATCAGTCTCAATGTGAGATTGACCTTGTTCACTTTACTCCCAGTAGCATCCATTCCTTTTTTACAAAGTTTAGAAAAAATACACAAGATGATGAACATACCAATAGTCCTTTCTTGTCCTATTTTCCCAACAACAGCGATCTGCGAGGTAAATTGGGCTGAGAAAGAATGACTGGCCCAAAGCTACCTAGTCCGCTATCATGCCTAGTGGGACTACAACTCACACTCTTACTGGGTCTATCATCTTGTTCATAATTTATTACAAATAGACCTGACAGGGAATCATCCTGAGTCTGGAATGGCTAGCAATTCATTAATCTAATTCCCAGGTTGAAGTTGGGAGGCCAGAAGTAAGATTGGAATCAGATTTTGAATTTCTTTCCCCTGAAGCAGCTTGAAAAATTAATCAGTTAAGTTTCACAGAATTCTGATTGAAAGAAGTACAAGCTGAACTGTATCTTTTGCTCTTCAACAGACAATAGATAATTTAATTTGATTTAGAGAAAGTATATGAAAACTGGATAAAATAATGGAATTTTTCATGAAAATGGAGTTGAATGATTGTTGCTAAATGGCTTAAGAGTAGTATATGATGGAAGTTCAACATGAATGAAAGTAAATTACATTTTTAGAAAATAATTAAACACTGAGTAGTTAGAGAGACAGAGAAAAACATTTAATGTATTTATGGATCAATGTACAAAGAATGTTTATGATGATGTTAGATGTATGCTGGCAGGAAATGTGAATGTGTGTGTATATTTGAACACACACAGAAGTTATACATAAATTGGAACAAGTAGATAAATGTTTACTAATGATGGGGACATGGCTACAGACATTTAATACACTATGTGCCAATTCTTTTAGGAAAATAACAAGTAACATGTAGTTTGATGACATGGGTGAATGTGTGTCAAAGTAAGTAAAAATCAAGATATATAATTGTGTGCTTCTGTGTCCTTTGTTCCTGGAAGTGAGACTTAGCTATGTCACAAGAAACAAAAAAATAATGTGAATGCAGTGGTAATGGGTGAGTTTTGAAGCATCATGTGTCATCTATGGTCAATGGATGATGAATGAATATAAATTGTGTAAATATAAAAATGAGTGACCAATGTGAAAAAAAAAGTTTTTTAAAAAAATAGTTTTTATTGATAGAAAATATACAAACAAACATAAATACAACGTACAAAACAAACCAACATCAATTCAGTCCCCTGACTGACTCTTACAGTTTCTACATCGGTGGGTTATCAAGTTCTCTTATCTTTCTCTATTCATATCTATCTATATGTTCACATATTTATATGATTGTATATAGGACATTTTGTTCACTCTTTGTTTAATTCTATACATTCCTATTGAATATTCAAAAATTGTTTTTATGTTCCTATTTTTCCCTCCAGCCAGCTGTACCAACTTTGCCACACTAAATAGTAATCAGTATCATCCTTCTCTTATAGTTCTTTTGTGAGCTTATCCATTTCTGCACACTCAGTGATTTTGTCAATTAGTTTATCTTTTGTTGGTAACTGCTCAGATTTCCAATTTTGGGCAAATAGTATACGCGCTGCTGTGAGGATATGAATAATCAGATATTTTATTTCTTTGGTGTATTGTGCTGTGATCATTCCCAATAGGAAAATTTCCGACTTCATTTCCAGTTTTTGTTTTGTAATTCAAGATATATAATTGTGTGCTTCTGTGTCCTTTGTTCCTGGAAGTGAGACTTAGCTATGTCACAAGAAACAAAAAAGTAATGTGAATGCGGTGGTAATGGGTGAGTTTTGAAGCATGCATGTGTCATCTATGGTCAATGGATGATGAATGAATATAAATTATGTAAATATAAAAATGAGTGACCAATGTGAAAAAAAAAGTTAATGAGATGGTTTAGGCATGAATATATGAAGAATATGTGAATGAACTAAGAAAAAAAAAAGAGAAGACTAAAATAGTTCTGGTTGGACAGTGATGATGGGATTCTCAGAAGGAGAAGGAGGAAAAGTTTAAATAACAGAAAGGAGTGCATAATGGAATGCATGGTCAGGGAGGAGGCAAAGATGGCTTTGCAAGGTTAAGTTATGTAGAGATGCTTTTTTCTGAATTAGTAAATGGTGTTCAGCTATATTTTGTCTTTGCATTTAATTAATTTTGCTTTCTATTTCTTACTTCTTTTCTGTGCTTTGTATGATACCGCTTATGCCCCAAAGGATATGTGCATATACAGTACATATTTGAAGGTATGGGTACATCTTTAGATTTTCCAGGATTCAGTACAGTACTTTGGTGAAGTCTTTTCAGATTATAATCTCACAGACACCATCTATGAGTTGGCTCTCAAAAGTAGTTTATAGTCTGTTGGTTGGTCTTTTCTCAAATATCAAAATCTGATGGCAAACTCAAAGCAGAACTATACTTATTTTCTACTTCTACAAATCCAGAATAACAGTGCCATTGTTTCAGATAATTATTATATGCATTTATAAAGAAATAAATTCAACAGCATTGATTCTAAATTATATCATAAAGTAGGGTTATTTCTTTCCCCCCCCCCCCGAGAGAAGTATACCATTATACAAGAACCAGAGAGAGGAAAACCTCTAGATGTTGATGGAATCCAAGTTCCATATATTCTATCCAAAATGGCCAGGAAAGGGAAAATTAAAATGATAGTCCATTTATAAACGATAAATTAATGGTCGTCCTCTTTCTCTGGGCAGTAAAGTCATAAAAATAAGAAGATGCTGTATACTAACCTTGACCAATCATCTAATTTCTCTGGTGTTGATCAGCACAGCAAATTTCAGATTTGCTTCCCAGCTACTTGAGATGTACTGACTTAACCAAGATTACTGGTTATTGAAGCCTGAGTGGCGTAGGAGGCTAATGCCTCCTACTAAGGCCGCATTTAACATCCAGCTGCCTGCAATTACTGTGAGTTCAATTCTCACCAGGCTCAAGGTCGACTCAGCCTTCCATCCTTTCTAAGGTGGGTAAAATGAGGACCCGGTTTGTGGGGGCAATAAGCTGACTTTGTATAAAATATACAAAAGTATGAAGGCTATTGCTTAACGCATTGTAAGCCGCCCTGAGTCTCCGGAGAAGGGCGGCATATAAAAATAAATAAAAATAAATAAATAAATAAATTGAGAATGCTGGGCAAATTATTTCTTCTTTTTCTCCATCCCTGGAAGCTAGACTTCTATTTTCCTCTGTTTCTACTGAAGGGCACATTTATTAGTATACGTTTTCTCTCCTGATCTCTTTCTTTAGTCTGATATGCTGTTCCACTGGCTCCAATCCTACCCTGACAGTGTTAAAGCCACAATCTTTTGGTTGTAAAGATTCTATGCTTTCACAAGTTGCCACCTTATATTTTAAAATATTTTAAAATGTGTTTGAAATACAGGCAATGAGAAATTATAGAAGCATCAGTATAAAAACAAAAACTAAAACCAACCAGCACAGTCACAAACAGTACAAGATAAAATATAGAACTACAATACATTAATATTAGTGGGATGACAGTGTTAGTTAGTTTTACAGCAATGAAAGATCATAATTGTGTTTGAAGGAATAACATCACGGATCACATCACTAGGGGAATTCAGGTTTATTGCAGTTTAGTGACAATTCACTGTGAGAAATACGTCCCAACACATGAACTGAATAAGAACCAAATTAAATTAATTTAAAATAAACTCCCTTCACATATATTATTACATGTCAGATTGTGAATGATAGTTATCACTGATAATAAAAATATTAAGAGCATGCAGATTGTTTCTGATTCTGAATTTGAGACTTTGACTCAGACTTATTCGGCTTCATTAATGAATTCAAATGATCTGAATCGTTTACTAAACTGAATCTTTGCATTCAGCTTCAAATAAACTTTTGTTCCTTATTAATTAGCTTCACAGTTATAAAAAGTTTAATAATTAGATATTTTATTAGGAATATAGCTCAAACTAAATATACTGAGCCAATTGGTGCATTATAAAAAAGACTATGTTTCCTGATTAATTTATTTGTGGTACAAAAATATGTGATACAAGGGATTTAAAAAACAGGGAGTGATTCTATTTAATGACTTTTTCAATATGCAAGGGGATTTATTATGGATGTATTACTTTTCATTCCAGTGAACAATTCTCAATATGTCTCTTATGTGGAAAGAAGTGTTCTTTGATAAAAAATAATTTACATCTATATTATAACTGATATTGGTTTTTATACACGCACATGCCCATATATATTATATTAGTCCATATTAAGCCAAAAATATTATTCAATATCATCCACAGTAATGTTGCATTGATCAAAACATCTTTGTATCTACATCCAGTGCTCAGTAGAACAAAAAGGTGGATTATAAATCACATTAAAGGAATCTGATCCAATCATTATAAGGTGCAAATTGATGTTAAATCAATACCTTGAAATGCATGTAGCACCCTTTCTATTAAATCTTTTACTAACTATTACAAATCCTTGAAGGAGGGAGATCTTTATTCATTCATAAAAGCACAATGAGAATTTAATTTTGATTTTTGGCAGTACAGCTAATACTTTGGTTGACTATGATTTGGATTAAATCAGATTGATAACATCATTGTGTTCTAAATTGTAATTATTATGCATTCATCCCAGTCTATTGTGTAGCAAGACTTCCTATATGCTCAAAAATCTGTTTTGCACAGGAAAACACATTCCAATATATTGTCTCTAAACTGCAATTTAATACCATTTTTCAAAATCCCAAGGAATAGTTTGAGACTTGAAGTAACAGTTCCTTACACAACTTGTCTAGATACAAACCTTCTTCCAAACTTTATATAAATGATTAGAAACTTCACCAGCAACCTTAATTTATAAAAAAACAAAAAAGAATACATAACAATTCTTCATTAAAAATAAAATGCAAAACTATTATAATTGTATACTTAGATTTTCATTATAATTCTCTAATAGCATTAAGATTTACTGAGTTAATGATTGCTGGATTATTATATTTAATAATTAATAGTACTGATCTTTCATCTATCTAAATTAGAAATGCCCTCATATTGATTTTATTTCAATTTTTCATATTTCTTACATGTATTTTCTATGGGCCCTTTCTTTCAGGAAACTTCACAAAATGTATTTTGCTTATAATTAATATATGGATCTGTACTAGACCTGAGCATTTTTTTTTTCTGTTCTATTCTTGTAATATATACATACAGTAAGTACTACAGTACAATTATCATATATGGTGACAGGAATAACTTGGACAATCTTTTTCACTTTAATAGTTATATAGTTTCTGTTGTAAACTAGAAATAGATTTTGACATAATGAATTGACTAATTAATGAATGAATTCTTTTATTGAAAAAAGTTGGCTCATCAATAAAGTAGCTAAATGAGGAGATGAATCAAGCTAAGGAATATACATCACATAAGGCTGAATTTGAAATTGAATTAACTTTCTATTATGTGGTTCCAACCAATTTGTATGTACCACAAAGTAAAGCTTTGTGAAAAGTATAACATTTGAATATTGCAGATATACAGTACTATGCATGCGAAAAGATTCTACCCTTGTCTGTCACTTTTCCAAAATAGGGAGAGAAGGGGATAAACAAGTAAAATTGAATCCATAATGCTGAACTGGGTTCAAACTGGACTATATGGTCACTATTAATTTCTAAACCAGATCTAATCTTATGGGATTCTAAAGTCCATCTTGATAGAATAATATAATCTGATAGTTTTGCTTATATATGGACATCTTATTGAAAAAGTTAGCAAAATATGAACTTGAACAAATGGCATGATGTCATCTCATGCAAATATAGTGTTTGTGAAGGATATATATTTAGAGGAAAATCTAAAGAAAAATCTCTGTCCACTCAGTCTGAACACACAGATGCAATGATTTACCAAAGTAATTTGGTAAAATAAAATATTTGTGTCTCTTGCCCTGAACACATATCTTTTTCTTCTTCCGAGATTTGTCCATACTGTATATAATTGTGAGCATTAGCTATGTGTGTGTTTGTGATGGATGTGGAAGTAGGGCTGTGTAAACTCCCAAAGAGACTCCCAAACACTTACTTCTTATAAGGAAAGATTAAGTCTATAAGATCATATTTATGCCAATAAGGATAGTTTGCAGAGGAGTAAAAACTTGTATGCTATGAAATAACATAAACCAGCCCTGATGCTTCCATTTCAGATATGGAGCTATATGTGAGCACCATCATCTATTAAATTCATCTGTGCATGCATTACATAAATTGTGGCATTACAATAAAGTGGCATATCAGAATGATACTGGTTTCCAGATTCAAATGTAGACCAATATATCTATTATTCAGTTTATATACATTTGACTGATCTTGGGGTTAGTTTGTCAAAATCCTATATATGCCTCCAAAGTTAAGCTTATGTTTTCAAATTTGTCACCTTTGAACCTCAGCACAAGATCATGGACAATTCCTAGTTTCAGATATTGTAGATCCTTGTCTACCTACACAACATGCTATGGCTTTCTATAATTAATTAGAATTCTACACCAATTCTTAGATATAAAGGCATATCAATTAAACTGATGTTTTTCTACATACAGCAGACTGTACAATATATTTGTGCATTTGGACAGCTGTAAATATAAATTATCATATACTGGAAGAAACAATTTTTTGCTCATACATATATTATTAAACTCTTAGATATACTGTAAGTTTAAAAAAAAGTATTGTATATCATTCCCTTTCAAACATATACCACAATTGATTTATTAAAATTAAAACATGAAAATAAGTAAATAGACTGTATATTGCTAATATATTTATTTCTTTGAGTTATTACTGATTCATAGTTTATATAAATTTCTATATTCCAATGTTCAAGGCAGCTTACAAGAATCTACAGGTTACCTATTACACACCGGGTCTGTATTAAATTCAAAGGCTCATTTTTATTTATTTTTCTATATTTGTTCCAAAAGAGATTCATTATAAACATAATACAGATGCAAACAAGTTTGTTTTATTTAGCTGAAGGAAAGTGAAATAAATGTCACTTTGAGTAGTGAAAAAGCATTCAGATATTAAATGACACTCAGCAAATCAAATAACATTTAGTGTTAATAGTATCAATGGCAATAGTTGAAATAGCATGCACACAGCTATTCAAAACTAGTTATAACGATTTGTATCCATTCTTTGGCAGTGAGAGAATAATAAAGGGCCAAAATATCAGTATATTTGTAACAAGTTTTATAGAAAAACGTGTGCATAAATGTTTAGATTGGTTGAAAAAAGTCACCTGTTTCAGATTTTTTTGAGCATGTAGTTCCTAGTCATTCTTGCAAATTCACAAAGCTTCTAATTATGTAGGAGCTATCATATTTATCATTAAAAATAAAAGTTACATGAGCTGTAAGAAGTTGTACAAGACTTATATTAAAGACAAATGTTACAAGTAAATAATTGGATAACTTCACACTAATGCTGTCAATTGGTACAAACCATGAAGTGTATATTGTTACAGAAATAGTGAAATAAATAGGATATTCATAGGAGTGAAGAATGTTCTTGCAAGTAGAGCCTTTTAGGGAGCAAGATGGAAACCATTCCCGACTACACACCGCTTTTTTTCTTTTTCTTTTTTTTAAAAAAATCAGATTTATGCCATTTATTCAAGTTGTAGTACACCAAGATGAGGAACTTTTTCTGTATTTTGTGTTTTCCCACAAACGTTCCATTTACCTGTTATCGGTCCACTTACTTATTTTCAGTTTCATCAATGTATGCTCTGATGGCTTCTTTTCTCTAGGCCTGCTAGAAAGGTAGATTGCCTCAAAGTCAGTTCAAGAAGCTTTCCATCCTTAACTAGCTTACAGAATGCTTGTGGAATCAGCTAAAGTTTATCTTTTTAAAATAGAAACCCAGGTTTTAAAAAAACTGATGTTCAGAAACTATTCAATAAAAGGGGGGAGGGGGAATCACAGAAATAGTTCACTGTCTGGGATACAAGGTGGAAGTGTCTTTAAACTTAATTTTTTGGAAATGGAATGGGTTACTTTTACAGTTGAGCAGCAATAATAAGAACTATACCACACTCCTTTTCTAATATATGAAATAAATTATTCCAATAAATCAGCAACAAAAATATAAAGTGGCTCTTCTATTACATCTAATCCTATATTATAGATTTTAAAAAATAAGGCTGTCCAAGAGATTATAATTCTACACTTGGCTCTGGCTCCAATTAGTTTTGATACACATAATTCTAGATTAAAATTTTAGTGCATGAAAATTACTAGCAAACTAAATCTATAAAATCTCAAATAACAACAACAAAAAAATTGCCAGTATTTATTGAAACTGAACTACCCCTCTTGCAATTCCTGCTTGATGTCAAACGATCAATAACCAGCAATTGATTCTTCCTGTTTTGAATTCACTAACTCGAGATCAAATCAACAAACCTCCTGAAAACATCAAAAAATAAAATATCAATATGGGTTCCGATTAAACTTTTAGGACCTATTAGTGTCTTATCTTCCATCTGTGGCTGATGATGAGAAACACACACACACACATTACAATATCAGCACTTCAATTGCAAAGAACTAAGGAAACAAAAGAACTAAGGAAAGTCAGTATAGCTAATACTCCATAAAACAGGTAACACTTCATAAAATGTATATGGAGATTCTCAGTCATCCAGGTCATGGTTGTCCCAAAGATGCTTTTTCAAAAGGCAACTGGACTTTCTGGTTTTTCATTGAAGATGTTTCATTTCTCATCCAAGATGCTTCTTGAGCTCTAAAGCAGCTTCTTGGATGAGAAGCGAAACATCTTCAAAGAAAAACCAGAAAGTCCAGTTGCCTCTTGAAAAAGCACCTTTGGGACACCCCATAAAATCTTCACATTATTGTACAAATAGAGTAATGAAAAATAAAGATATGCTCCCCAAAGCAGTAAAATCTATTCATCTACTTGTATTTGATTATTTCAAACTTCTAGGTGTGCAGGAACCTGGGCAAGTTACAGGAACTCACCCCATCGTATGGGTCTTGAACAGTGGTGGGATTCAAGTAATTTAACAACCGGTTCTCTGCCCTAATGATTTGGCAGTTTGCCAAACTGCTCAGAAAGTTAATAACCGGTTCTCCCAAAGTGGTGCGAACTGGCTGAATCCCACCACTGGTCTTGAACCCAGGCTGTCTATCAGTGAAGAACCTAATGTATCAGCAGAAAATATTCTTATCATCTAACCTTTGTAGACAAAAATTCATTTAAAGAATTATTAAAGAAATGTAAAATGTATATGTTGATAGAAACTCTGACTATTTTCAGAACTTCAATGAAAAATCAGAATAGGATTGGGTAGCGCAAACATTTTCAAAAGTAAAACATTATTTGGCATCCTCTGTAATGGGCTGAACATTAAAAAGTAGAGAGAGATGTAGCTAGAAATGGCTGTTAAATCAATAGGAAATATTTTCTGTTTTGCCTATAAAATTCTACTGATTCACAAATATAAAATATCTTTTTGTAAAACGGGATTTTTTAAAGGGAAAGAAATATGAAAAAGTATGAAATACTGTATTTTGAAAGGTATGGCCTAGCATTTACAGAACAAATATGCAGAGAACTCACATACATTAGACATACATAATTATGTCTAATGTATGTGAGTTATAATTATGAGCCACAGTGATGTAGTGGTTAGAATGCAGTACAGCAGGCTACTTCTGCTGCCTGTTGGCTGCCTGCAGTTCGGCAGTTCGAGTCTCACCAGCGCAAGGTAGACTCAGCCTTCCATCCTTCAGAGGTGGGTAAAATGAGGACCTAGATTTTGGGGGGTAATATGCTGACTCTGTAAACCACTTACAGTGCTCTGTAAGGCACTGTGAAGCGGTATATAAGTCTAAGTGCTATTGCTATTGCTATAATTATGTTACAAAGTTTCTTACAAAAAAAAGGGTTCCTTTCCATGATGAGATCCAAGTTTGGGATCTCTCCATAATGGATCTTACCTTAGACCACTGGATCTTAGCATCCAGTTGGATCTTATTCTTGGGCAGTGCATGACAGAGCATGAAAATAAAGTCAACCTTTCATACACCTTTTCACATTTCTGTGGTAAACAGATTGAACTAAAGATGAATTAGATATGTATAAAAATAATTCAGGAAATTAAAAATGTGTAGAACTTATCTCTTATTAATCCTATACCTGGCATTTATTTTATAAAGATCGGATATGCATTTTTCAGTATTGTTTCATTGAAGAACTGACTTTTATGTTTTGTGCCAATTGACAGCCCCTCTGGAGAAACCCAGATCAATGACCTTGAAATGAAGAACTGCATAGGACACAAATAGGTGAGATAATGCAAAGCATGTGACAGCAATATCAGGTCTTTCCCAGCTCATCTAAAAAGCATGAACAACACACTCTGTTGCCACTTGTGTTGGATATTCTCTGAACTTGGTTGGGGTAATAGTATAAATAACAACCTTTGTTTAGAGGCTTTAAACACATTGGGGCTTATTGGACCAATTGAACAAAAGCACTATAGTACACCAAACAGCATCTTTTTTTAAAAAAATCCACCATCAAGATAAGGCTGCATGGAAGAGCCCATATAAACCGATTGCTTTCTTGAAAGCTTTGTTAATAATTGCAAAGAAAATATGGTGAACAATGGCAGAACTATAATGGTGATAGCTTTTGAATAAAACAAACCAGATCATGGTCTGCTGCAGCCAGCATACAATAATTTCAGAATTTGCTTATGTGGCCCAATGAGTGGGTCAGAGCACCAGGTGGAACCACTAAGCAGTAGCAAAGAGATACCTGAATACTTAACTCTTTGCTTTTATTTAGAGGTTATTAATTCTTGCAGGCCAGACCTGTACTGATAGAACATCCAGTACTATGCCATCATTGCTTCCTGTTGTTTCCAAAAGTAACTTGTGTATGCAAGCTTCAGGCAGAAGGCAGTACTGTTCCTCAAATATAGATACTATTGATCACATATGGTGGAACGTGATGTTTACCATGAGTCCAGAGAAGACTCCTTATAATCTTGGTAGAGAACATAGAAGGAACTCTTTGGTAACAACTAAATAAGTAAATAAGACAGTAAAGCAATGTCTTGACTTGGATTTTACTGTGTTAGCAAAACACTCTAAAAGTCATTTTCTGATCTTGGGAGAATAATGTTTTCTTATCATTTTGTTTATGATAGCTATAACAGTTTTGAACATTTGAGAAAGAATAAAAGAGATAACGAATCCTCAGAGGGAAACCACATGCTTAGATGAAAGATCAACATGAATGCACAAATCAATTTTTCCAGGTAAAAAGGAGATTTGCAAACCAACTAGAAAAGATAAGTTTAGGCTGGAAATCTATTACATTACATTAAAGATTGTTCAAAAAATGTTCTCCATATATAGTAGAAACAAATTTATCTAATTTGCTGACCTTGCACAAGGCTTCTGAAAAACAGGATTCTTTCAAGAGGAGGCAATGTTCTTGGGATAGCTTGATACAAAGCTTATCAAATTTACTTTTCTTTAAAATGAAAAAATTTCCTTCTTTTTTTAAGATAACAGAAATGGATGAGATAATTCTAAGACCACACACAATACTGTGAAAATTGTTCATAATAAGGCACTTGTGAAATGTTACTATCCCTACTTCAAATTATGAACAAAATAGAGCCTTCTCCAAACTAACCCACTTAAAAGTATTACGGTCTATAATGCTGCAGGAAATATATTAAAAATAATTTATATAATGATGACAGGATGTAGGCTCAATTTAAAATAGTCATGGTCTCTACCCGGCATGATGGTAAGTACTAAGGAAGATATTGTCCTTATATCTAAATTTGTTTATATTAGCATATGGAATATGAAAAATAACACAATTTGTAGGATTCCTATCTTTTGCAGAAGAAAACAATAGTAGTGCTTTAATTTTATGGGTATTTTATTTTAATACATTATTCTCTTAATTTTGCTGCCAATGTAAATAATTTTTAATAAGATTATATGATTCTAGCAGTATTTTTTTTCAATCTGAGAAAAACATTAAATTTGCATAGGTTGCTATGAGAAGAAAGTGGTAGAGAAAGGCCTTGCATATTCATTTCAATGTGCCTTGGTCAGCTTATGGTATAGATAACAATATAGCCATCTGTAGTCAACTAGGCCTTTAAATATCTACCGCCTTGCTGACTGTACCATGGGTCACATTAGGAATACAGTGGTACCAAACTGGTTACCTTTTCCATTCCTTCTTCCTTCAGGCTGATGATATCCAAATCAAAATCTTTTCTTAAACCATCTGTTTTGTTGAAAGAAATGCGTCCTGTCAAACCACTCCAGTGGCCCTAAAAAACCAGATTGAAAGGGAGATAGAAATATGATTATGTGCAGTATGTTTAGCTTCATCTTTTATAAATAAAAAATAGATGTGTAACTTCTATTCCTTGATATAATTACTTTTGAAAGTGGTTAATGTAGCTTTGTTTGATTAATTCTATAAAGGTAAAGGTTCCCCTCGCACATATGTGCTAGTCATTCTCGACTCTATATAAACAGATATCTATATCTATATCTATATCTATATCTATATCTATATCTATATCTATATCTATATCTATATCTATATCTATCTATCTCTATCTCTATATCTATCTATATCTATCTATATCTATCTATATAGTTTATATAAACTCTATATAAATGGAGATGAGCAGTGTTCATCTCCGTTTCAAAGCTGAAGAGCCAGCGCTGTCTGAAGATATCTCCGTGGTCATGTGGCCGGCAAGACTAAATGCCAAAGGTGCACGGAACGCTGCTACCTTCCCACTAAAGGTGGTCCCTATTTTTCTACTTGCATTTTTTAGGTGCTTTCGAACTGCTAGGTTGGCAGAAGCTGGGACAAGTAACGGGAGCTCACCCCATTATGCGGCACCAGGGATTTGAACCACTGAACTGCCAACCTTTCTATCGACAAGCTCAACATCTTAGCCACTGAGCCACCTCATCCCCATTAATTCTATACTTTTCTTTAATTTAGTATTTCATCAATAGCTAAGTACTACATGCACAGAAGAACCTGAACAGTGTAGGAATGGAGCTCAGTTCTTTGTTTCTCTAACCCAGTTCAGGATTTTCCCTCCCTTCCATCCACAAAAGGGAACTTCTGCAAATGAGCCAAACTTTCCTTCTGCAGTCTGACAAAAGGATTTCCACACACTTCTCCCTGTTTATGGAGGGGAGGAGAAATCCTTCAGCAGGTAACAACAATTTGGCTTTCTAGGGAAGTTGGCAAATAGCGATAACATGTTCATAGAGTGCTTGATAGCAAGTTGCCAAGCACCTAGATCACGATATGTGGCCATCGGGGACAGAGCGACATTTTAGACATCGGAAGTGTTTTACAAATCTTTCCTCAGCCATCATAACTTTGAATGGTCATTAAACAACTGGTTGAAAGTCTATAATACCTGTAATAATGATACTTAACAATACAAATATTGAAGCCAGAAAGCAGATTATGCACTAATGAAATAGAAAGAAAAGAATTTCAAGGAATTTTGAATTACCATTTATCACAGTATTATTCAACTCCTGGAATTATTAACATAATTTACGACAGAAATTTATGACTTGAGATAATAATATTTCCATTCCCATCTTATTTATGGTAACATTACTACATTTTAAATATTTACAGATATTTACAGAACTTATAGTATTCATGGATTTTTATACTGATGGACTTTTATATTGGATTTTTATATTGCTCCCAAATCTTCAATTTTGTATCACTAATGTTGAGTATAAATCATATATAATACTCATTCAATCCATATAGGTAGGACAAGGCACATACATGCCTTTTCTGTTATTAATCAGCCAGATGTTTAGACTGAATTTAGCATTTTTATCCATCAATCAAGTCCTTACCAAAATCCTGGGATAGGTTGTTTGATTGGTTGTTTGGATAATCATATAAGTGTTCCAAACAAGCAGACAAAATGACTTAATTTTGTCACTAACATTATGGGAAAATTGATTTTAATAGGGTTTTAAAACCAACAATTTGTTACAAATTATAAAGACCATCTTGAAATCTGTTTCTGCAGCCTGGTGTTTCTGTTTCTGCATGTGGGTGGATTGGGATTTCTTTTCTTTTCTTTTCTTTTCAGCATTCAGCTTTTCTCAAAAACCTAGCAAATTATCTTGCCATGCTAAGAAAAATAGCCAAGTGTAGATCAAATGGTGTATATGAGATATCTTTATGTGCTCCTTATTTATTATTAATCCTTATTTAGCAGCTGTTTTAGGAAAATATTTTGAAGGGGACAGATTTAGGAATAATTATTTAAGCTAAATGAAAAGATTATACAATATACTGAGAAAAGATGGCCAGTGACCTTGTGATCCTGTCCAATTTTCTGAGGCTAATTGATTTGAGGAAGAAAATAAATGTGAGGAAAGAGATAGTTATATTTTTCTTCTCAAAAATGCCATTAGTTCCTCCTTTTATTACTCAAGAAAAAAATACACCCTTGTTTTTGCAAGGAAATTACCGCTTTTTCTTAAGGAATATACTTATTTTTAAAGGGAGAGTGAAGCATTAATCTAAATTTGATTTAGATATCAAATGACATAAGATTACAGGGGTGAAGCCTTTTGGAAAAGATTTAATCTCCATGACTGATTGAACCTGAATGCATGGTATATCATATCAATCCACATGAAAACTAGTTGATGACCTCTAATTCTGTTATATTAAATCACTAGAGAAATCATAGGCTGATTTCTAATTCTCCTACATATACCAGAAAGTTTCATTTGTGCTATGAAATAATTGTAGGGTGTTTTGAATTTTTGACTTTGGGTCACTTTCTCTTAACCCAACCCATGTCATAGGGTTGCTGTTGTGGGGAAAATAGGACGAGAAAAGTATGTTGGATAGGGTCTAGGACTTTTTGTCTCTGACTGTTCAGTGTATTCTTTACTTTCGAGTAAACCAACTGTTTCATTTGAAATACTAGACAAATATTTCACACTGCAATCCTAGCATTGAATTTGGTGAGACTTACTTCTGAGTAAACCAACTGTTCCTCCCTGTATTTGGAGGAGGGGTAGAGAGGAGGCTGATGGGGGGAAGAGAGAGAGAGAGAGGGAGGAAAGCATTTTGGCAAATTCTTTTATACCTCTCTCCTTTCGCTGGATTTCTATTACACCCACTCTAGCCAATTGGATGAGGGCTAACTATCACGGAGGGCGGAACACCCAGGAGGAACCCTCTTTCTGCGAATGGGCCATGTGAAAGGGTGTGGGATGCAGGGGCCGGTAGCCCATTGCCCAGGGCAAATGAATGGAGGTGTGTGAGCTGAGGAGATAAGTCGGGGGAGAATCGCCCAAGGAGAATGAACAGTCGGAGACGAAAAGTCCCATTCTGGTTGGATAGGCTTGCCAGCTTGAGTTATTTGTAAAAAGAATGAATGAATGAATGAATGAACAAACAAACAAAATTGTTTCCCAACCCAGAGATACTGATGGCGGTGATATTTAGGTTATTAACCAGAAATATAAAACTTTAAAACAGATAGACTATTTTCAGCTAGGAAAATTATTTTGCTGTATGTGGAATGTAGTAATGTTTTATTTTGTTGTTATATAAAATTTCTTGGACGTTTACCAGGTAACCCAACAAATAATGAGGGTGGCTGTCTTCATAGAAATTGCAATTTAAAACAATATGGATCCCTGTTTTGATATTTCCTGTGCTCCATAGACAATTACATTGTTCAATCTCTTCTATATGGAAAGCATCAAAAAAGGCCATTGAAAAATTCTGTGGTATTTAAAGTTCGTAATAATCCCAAAATAGGTTGCTGCTCAAGTACAGATCTGATTTATGGGATATGGGACTACTTTTGCCAGGTTAGTATATGGGCCTGTTTATGGTAACTATAACACAAATAGGATTTAAAAATAATATTTTTATTGCAATAGAAATAAATGGATTACCTTCAGATCAACAGTACAACATATGATACAATTTGAATGGGCAATTCTGTTTCTTGAATTTTCCAAATTGTATCCATATTCTTAAAATGGGAAATCTGCTCTACCCTGTGATTATTCCATCTTCTTATTTTAGTGTATTCATAATTTATTCATAGCATCTGTAAAAATTTTAGTGCTATAGTGATGAACTGTAAATTCTAAGGTCAGAAACAAATCCATTTAGCAAAATAATATGCATTTATCTCTCTCTCTCTCTCTCTCTCTCTCTCTCTCTCTCTCTCTCTCTCACACACACACACACACACACACACACACACTACCCAACCCCCCCCTCCAAAGTCCTGTGGTATGAAAAGATTCTGAAGCAATCAGAAGAGGATCTAAATTTTATCTTTAGATATCCAATGCTGTTATAGCATTCAGTTGTCTAGCTAAGTGTATAAAATCTAGCTGAAAGCACTGCCTTCTCAAAAGAAGGGAGGGAGGGAGGGAGGAAGGGAGGGAGGGAGGGAGGAAGGAAGGAAGGAAGGAAGGAAGGAAGGAAGGAAGGAAGTTTCCCTGTATGATATAACACACAGGGCGATTAATGGCAATTCTAGTACATAAGAATTGTAATACAATTGTAGACATAAGCTAGATAAATTTCACTGTTGCCCTCTTTGTGAGAAAAAATGAATGAGCTTTTTGGAAAAAATACTTGAAAACAAGGCCATTCATTCTCTGCATTTCAGCAAATACATTCTTTTGAGGGAATTCTGAAAAAAAGAATAATTGTTTCAGTTTCCCAAGCTGAACAAATAGAAATTTACTAGAAGTTGAAATTTAATAGTTTCTTGATTAATTCTGAAGCCAGAATTACTGATGTTTAAAACTTAATTCTCCTTTACAACAAACTAAACAAAATTTGGGCAATGCTAAGATGATGCTTCTTTGTCAAAGAAGGGAAATTGAATATATTGGGACACTGGAGAGACATTGAACATTATGAATAAAATAGACCATATTCAGTAAAGGTAAAGAAAGCATCGTTTTTGATGCCAAGAACAACCATATATACCTCTTTTATCAGATTCATAAAGCGAGTTCCAAACCTCCATGGCTTATGCCGGTGACACTGGAGGGAACTGACTGTCATTTGGAAGGCCCGTTGGGACGCCACTGCTACCATGTAAACGCCATCATACATCAAAGCTGATTCTGTCTGTTTTGGGGAAAAGACAAAAAAACCCAACAACATGAGAGGAATAGCATGTTTTCGAAATCTTATTTTCTTCTAAAATGCTAGTTATTTCTCCTATTTTGGGTTTTCTGCCAATTTAATGATTTTTGTTTGTTGTTTGTTTGTACATTAAACCAATTGCTTAGACTTTGGGAAGTATATAGAAAAGCAGAAGTAGAAAAAGTAATAGAAACAGCATAAGAGAACTAGAGGTTTCCTAACTTTTACATTTTAAAATTTTACACTTTTAGCCAAACTGTCTTCAGAGCCTTTCTGGATGTAAGGAATGATGGGGTCAGTTGTAGTTCTTGGCCAGTCTTTTCCATGCTGTGAGGGCTACAGTAACTCATTTCTTCATACAAATAATTAATAAAAATTTTGAATAGGATAGGGCCCAAACAGAGGTCTGGGCTTGTGGTACTTGTCCCACTGCTATATCCAAGTTGCTATGGAGCTATCTATGACAACTCTCTGGATGTTGTCATTCAGCCAACTATGAAGTCATCTAATAGTTGTATCATTGCAATTTAACAAATAATGATGAGTAACTTTATTGAATAGTAAGGTCAGGCACACAATTTCTATGGCATTTTTCAAAGATAATAAGCTAAAATGCCTCACGTTATGGTTCTTGTTGCATTTCTATCACAGTATTCCCAAGTATGTTAGTTCATAATCTGCTGGAGGAACTTGCCCAATTTCGTTCCTTAGGATGAAATTCATCTCCTCCCCCGCCACTGAATTTGGTGCCTTTGAGTTTTGCTGACTCTTGGTGACTGCCTGGCAGTCCAAGCAGTTTTCTTAGCAATAGTTTGGAAGGGCTTTGCCTTTGCCTTTTTCGAGCACTGAGAGAATATGACTGGCACAAAGTCATCCAGCTGGATTTTGTGCTCAATGTGGGATGAATCGTGGTGGCACAGTGTTAGAATGCAATATTGCAGGCTAATTCACTGATCACTGCAAGGAGTTCAATTCTGACTGGCTCAAGATTGACTCAGCCTTCCATCCTTCCAAGGTCAGTAAAATGAGGACCCAGATTGTTGGGGGCAATATGCTGAATATGTAAACCACTTAGAGAGGGCTGTAAAGCACTGTGAAGCGATATATAAGTCTAAGCACTATAGCTATTGCTAGAATGCAGGGTCTCCCAGTTTTTGGTCTACTGCAGGGGTGTCAAACTGGATTTCTTCAAGGGCCAGATCAGTATTGTAGTTCCCCTCCATGGGCCACGCATGGGGTGGGGGCACGTGTGGCACCCCTGTGCCCCTGGATGGCCTCCTGCACCCTGTTTTGGCCAGCAGAGCATTGCAGGAGGTCTTCCAGGCCAAAAGTGGAGTGTGGGGGGCACACCTGGCCCCCTCATTCTCCCTTTTATCTGCCAGAGGCACCATGTGCCAGTCCTTTGCTATTTGCAAGCTGATTTAAGCACCCCACAGGCCAATTTCGGTTTGCAGGCCTTGAGTTTGACACCCCTGGTCTACTGCCTTAAGCACAATGCCAAATTGGCTGTCTTCCATTTGGCTGTAATGACCTACCTGAATTCATATAAAGTAATTAACTGTTCTTTTCACTTTTCATTGTTTGCAGTTGTATATCTCTTCTTCACTACTGGCATAATTAAGACTAACTATGGCTTCATTTCCTTTCTGAAAGAAGACTGTGTCAGGGTTCTGACCGGTGCCCTAATTAAATCACGAGCCTCGAGCCAAGCTTCAAAAGAAATCCCGTTATTTATTAGGAGCTTCATGTCAGCACATTCCAAGTGAAGCCAACTCTGACCTCACTTAATTCATGCCCCGGCTCTGACCCTGTTCCCCCCTCCCCCCAAGGTGTGTCATCAGTCACATTTCCCTACAAAGCAATTTCACGGGTTGTAGAAGTCCCTTCCTCCGGCTACTGTGGGTCTCCGTAGAGATAGCCTTGACATAGAGATGGCTGGAATGTGCTTTTGTTTTGACTGAAGTGCAATTCCCTCACTTGCGAGGCTTGGTTCCCCATCCCCCTGCCTATGGCAACTCGAGAGCAGGTCAGGAATGCTCTGCGAGTTGACAGACTGATTTTAAAATATTCTTCCTCCCCACTATCATGCTTTACCAATTCAGCCCCTTGTCCTTACAACGAGCTTATGCTTTCTTTATTTTCCTTTTGTATCTCTCATACCCTTCAAGCCTTTATTGTTGCTTGAGCACTTTTCACAAACTATCTGAAAATATATTTCCTATACATATCTCTCCATTCCACACACACACATGAATTTTAGAAAACTCTGCATCTATCTAGAGTTTTAAATGTTTTTCATTTCTTTCTGCTACGAATTTTGCAACTGTCCTTCAAGTATCTTGTTTAACTTTTTTTAACCTTTCCAGATACCTTTCTCCATCACCCTTTCAACTATTAGATCTGGCTTATCTTCCATCCAAAATATTATAAAACCAATCTTGAAATATAATAAAGAAGGTGACTCTTGTCTATTGCTTCTTTCCTTACCATAACATGGATAAGTTCTCCCAAGATTCCTGTCACTTCCTTTAACAAACTCCCCAGGGGTGGGCTGCTGCTGGTTGTAACAACCAGTTTTCCCAGCACCAAAAATGTGAATGTGTGTGGCCTTCTGTGCATGTGCGTAGCTTCACAATCATGGCGATATAGGATAGGATAGCACAGAAGTAGTCCGAACCGGCAGCAGTCCACCTCTGAAACTCCCCCTTTTGATGAGAATTAGGTCATGGATAATAAACCACCTTATTCTCAAGAGTTTATGACCACAATGGCAACTGTGAATGGGCTATTTGTCTACCCTTATAAATAAAGGGATCTACCCTTTAGCCACCCTTATCAAAACCACCAGATAATAAACTGGTAGTCTTATTTATTTGTTTGGTCGTTTATTGAATTTTTCGCCGATCTCTTAGCAAATGATTTTATAATGTGATTCATTCCTTGTTTGAAAGAGTTAGGCTGCTTTTGCGAGTAATCTAATATCTGATGTATAACATTTCCTAGATTATTACACAATTAAACTTTGACTGGACAGAGTTTGTTTCCTGTCAGATAGAAATGTGATTTTATCAGATTATCTGGGAAGAGTCTGAGCTTGACTTCTGAGGAAGTCATCAGAATCTTCGTAATAGTATGTAGGAATGACATTACGAGAGAGGAGGAAGAGCCATGGGCTGGACTACCATCATGTAAAGGATATCTTAGCCCACAGAAAGGGGTGTGTGTGGGAAGCATTTCAGAAGGGACCCTCCCTATTTTTCTGGAAAGTAAAAGGACACCTCTGTTTTGTGAGCTGTGTTAGCAGCCAGCGAACCTCTGAGTTAATTCACGATGCTAGTTATAAAGCAGTTCATGGCATAAGGGTTGGTTATTTGAGGATTCAAACAGTATTGTTGCCGTTGCTTAAACAATGTCACATGGTGGGTCTCAGGAAATGGCCTTTTTCAACCATTCTCCCCATGATTCATGCAGTACCCCGCCCCCATTCTATTTAAGCAAGCCATGAAATCCTGGCTCTACCCAAGGGTGAGAATTCTATCCCTTGAGTATTTTTTAAAAAAATCTTTTGAATGGTTCGGGTTTTTTCCCCAGCCTTTTTTCCTCCCATGTGATTTCTTTGCTTTTATTCTTTTGTGGTTAGTTTTGTATTTTCTAAGCCATGTACAATCATGACAAGCTGAGGCAGACTGTAGCTCCAAACTCGATCAATAATTTTTTTAGCAGAGTTAGATTTTCAGCAGATGTAAACTAAGCTGAAATTTCCTGCTATCACATACTTCTTTGAAAGAGACCAATATCTTCTGCTGTCCTGGCAGATAACTTCCATGAAGTTATCACTTGTGTTTCTCTTTCAATTTATTCTTACCCAAACATTCACTGCAGAATTTTCTTCCTATGGTTCGTGAATTTCTGTGTAGGCATATGCTTTCTTTATGCAATACATTTATGGCTTTACAATAAATTGTCCATGATAAAATAGCAGTAGGCCTAAGTTCAGACATTTGTTTTCTGGACCAGCAAGTCCCTGAATCAGGTCACTAATTAAAATTTGCTAACATTAAATTGTTGAGATGAGAGCCTTACAATGTTTAATTGGTCTAACCTTGTGATTTGGTTAAAAGACTAAAACCTGTAGTGAAATGTAGCATTATTTATTATTAAGCTTCACAGTTAATTCAAAAGTTAATTGTTCAACCTAAAGAAGAAAAATGGTTTTGATTGTTTTTTGAGGCAGATTGTTATATAACAACCAGCTAATATGTACTGTTGTGCTATTCTGACTTTTTTCCAATTCTTAAATAACATTTTTTCCTAAAGGGGAAAAATGTGGTAGGTTACCAGTACAAAGTAGTGTTGTTTACCCTGACATACAAAATTTAATGAATTAAGCAAGAAAGCTGCATGATTATCCTGATGAGATAATAACAATATTGTGTAACAGCTAAGCTAATCCACTTTGTAGTTACATGTCTATGCCAGTCTTATAAATCCTTCTGGAAATTAACAGATTACTTCTCTGTTTCATTAACCTACATAGATCATTGCAAAACATAGGCAATGTGAATTTATCAGTTATCTTTAATTGCAGCACAACTCTGGAATTCCTTTGAAGTCTCAATCAATACAACTAATTAGTATTACATGTGAACTATTCCTGTACTTTGTTGTATTTATATCATGCCTTTCCTTTAGAAGCACAAGGTTGAATTTGAAGACTGGCCCAAAGTCATCCAGTGACATTCCGTGGTTGTGGGTGGGTGTGAATCTTAATCTTCCTATCTTAATTCAATATACTATCATCATACCATAAGCTCCAAACTTCTCACAAGCAGGAATTTAGCCACAATCCACACATCGAGAATCGCTTTGAATTGTTTAACAACATAGTTTCTTACTTTTTTTCTTTAGAATACTGGATGTAAAAGAAGAGACCTTAGGATATGAGAACACCATCAATACCATAGCAACTGCAGGTAGTTCTCACTTACTGATCACAATTGGTACCAGCAACTTCATCATTAAGCACAGTCATTAAGTGAAACATCATGCTCTTACGATAACAGAAATTCATTGTTTTCAATGCATTTGCAGGTAAACACTGCCTTGCACTGTAAAGAGCAGGTTTCTGGGTTGTCTCAATTTCTACGGCATTTCTGAAAATTCAGAATTGTTCAAAAAAAAACAAAACTTACAGAATTATTCAAAGGCATTACTTATTCCAAAATTACCTTGGCTTCCACTCAGTTGTGGCTATCTATAAAAGTATGGCATGAACTTCTTTTACCTAAACTAGAATTTCCTAAGTTTCTTCCTGTACAAAACACTTTGCCCTGGAGAAATGTTGGGCTAATTGCATCTTGAAAGGAAGCCATTTGCAGTCTGATTTCAATTGGTTTAACCTGGGACATGATTGCAATTAGATTGGTTCCAAAGATGTTCCAGATTTCATAGAGGCATAAATGTACCATGTTTCTGCAGCTCATTAATATAACCATATCTTTGCATATGAACATAGAGCAGCTGCAATACTCTATTGATTTTATGTCACCAACTCACTTAGAATTTGCTTGTCATTAAAATAATATAACTTCTTATTTCATTTCAAATGGTGTTTTGTCACTTACAGTCATCATGCCGTCCAGGAGTCCAGTCTCTGGCTTGGGTGGTGCCTGTAATCTTTCCATTGACCACTTATCAATAACAGAAGCCACTTGTGTATTGTCAATGTTAAGCAGACGAAATCCAGTCATATTGACTCCACTGTACCTATAGGGTTCCAGGTCTAGTGCAAACAAATCCTGTATTACCAAGATTTTGTTGGTAATACAACAACAAAAGGAAAAGACAAGGGCATTAAAGATAAAATGAATCATGTTGTATTACTTCAATCCAATAACATGAAAGTGCTACACTGGGTTGGTAGAACTTTATATCAATTATATAGCTTCCAATTAGTTATCCTTGTATTATTCTTTGAGCAGAGAAACTGAAATAGTCCAATATGGAAAATAGTATTTTGTATCAACAAATACCATCTATGTAGACTTAAAGCTGAAATAATACAGCTGAATGTGAAATCTTATCTTTGCCTTTCACAATTTCTGCCAAATCCCTATTGGTATTGAATATATATTTTTCTTCTTAAGTCCAGGTTTCTAGACACTGCATACATTATTAAATCTAAATAATGATGAGCTGAATATGATTTATTAGATATCATAGGTATGATTTGTGTTAACACAGAACTCCAGATATTTGCAATATTATATTCTAAGAAAGGTGCCCAGGAGTATATGTGCTGATTTATAATATTTTTGTAATAATGTTTCTGCTACAAACACCGGGGGTGGGGGGAGAACCTACCCAGAAAATCATGACAAATTGATTGTTTCATCCCTTGAAAGAGTCAACAACATAAACAATATAATTTTACAATTTAGAAGCTTGGTATTTCTCTTGCCTGCTACCTGGGGTAAATTGCTGTCATTTTATCTGATGTATGTATTATATCAGCGAAGAAGCAGTTCCATGTAAATTAGAGGTTTGCAAAGCAGGAATATAAGAGCTAATTTGAGTGATTGTGTGGCACATTTTAAGATCATGTCATAAATAACATAACATGAAAGAGTATAAATCATTTGTCAGGATGTGAAATCCTTCCGTCCATCCATCCATCCATCCATCCATCCATCCATTTAGATACTACTGTATACTCTGGTTTTAATTAGAACATTCTCATCTTTCACAATGGTAGAAATAATTAAGTGAGGGAAGAAAAAGGAAAAAAATTCTTTCTGTATATTTGAAATGTTTTCTCAATATGAGACTGTAACATTTACAAAAATTATTAATAATAATTTATTTTCAAGGATGTTAAAGTAGAGTTTTTTGTAACAATATTGATTTTATGGTCAACTTTTGTACACAAAAGATAATCCACTGATATAATAGGAATTATTTGAGAAGTTGCCCTTACTTTCATTATGGAACATCTCTGGCTTCATTTAATAAAATCCTTGAATAATATGGATTGCTCTAAATCAATAACATCCTGAAAGCCTAAACAAATGTGTTTGATTCAGTTAAAATATAATCAGAAACAATTAAGGATACTAGTTTGATTTTGTGACCAATTCCTCCATTTTAGAGAAATCCTACGGAAACCTTAAGTAAGACTAGTTCAGCATTCACCCACTGGACATACTCCATCTATGTTGATTACAAAAATCTATTGTTTACAGCCAACATGATCACAAGTTCCCAGAGTTCCTGGTTGGAGATAATTATTCTATGACAAAATAATTACAAATTTCATAGTAGACTAGTAACTTTGATCTTTTCCTCCTGCCCAACATTTTCAAGAATATGCTGTTAAAGTGTGAGTTCTTCACTAAATTAATTAGCAGATTGAAGAGAGATGAAAAGAGAGTATGTGAATTGCTGATTGAGATGGATACGCCAAGCCATCTTGTTTACAAGATCTGACTGCGAGCTACAATCATTTTTAGCAGAATTTTATTTTTTTGAAATCTACCATGGCTATACATAGAACACTGCCATAAAATAAGCTCTTCAGCTATTTCTGTGGTAATGGTACAAATAATTACCGAAGTATCTTACCAGAGTTGTAAAAAAGTAGTGATAATATTCAGTCATCATTCCCATGGAGAGAATCTGAGAAAGAACAAAGTGGGGAGATGAACCAAAGTGAAAAAACACAGCATAGGTAATAATTGATTCTGTAATGCTGCAGTTTTCAAACTTTTTCAGACTGCAGAATCTCTCAGTTTTTTTAAAAAATTCTCCTGAGCCAGAAGCAAAGCTCTAATCATAGAAAATTGTTTGCATTCACTTTATTTTTCTTCCTTTCTTTTTTTCTTTGTTAGAGCCTCAGCCGAAGGAATCCCAGCAAGCACACATCCTGGAAACTTAGGGTTGTGCACAACACAATGTGAAAAATGCTGCTCTAATATACCTGTGACAAAATCTTCATAGACTATGAAATAGTGCAAAGCAGTAGTGGAGGGCCGTATGCCTGAAGCAGAAGAATAGATGCCTATTTATTTATACTTGTAATAGCTTTGCAATAATTACAGTAACCACAGGCAAGTCATCAGCACCCCCTCTCCTTCGGATGAAGGCTTTTTGATATAATTTTAAGGTAAATAAATTGGTGTGGAGTATAGTAATATCAAAGTAAAAATCTTTGATGCAGTTCATGGTTGGCAGAATGAAACAGCTGCCAGAGGAAGTGGATTTTAAATGTCAGGATACCACAGCAATGATTTTAAATTTATTGTCATTGCATTTACACTGCCAGGAAAAGGAAAATGTGTCACTGGGAGCCCTTCTCCTACCAGAAATTAAATAACTTGACTGGCTTTGGTGCATCTTGCCTTGTATGCTATTTGTTCTTCTTCAGTCTAGTTTGCTCTAAATTAGAGGCATAGAAATCAACACCAATGAAATAAGACAAAATCCTTAGCGCACATTATATAATGTTCTGTATTATAATAAGAAAATCAACATGAAAAATATAAAATCCACAACAGGATGCTAACCTCCCATTATGTGTGATTAAGTTAAGATTTGGAACCAGCTGATAATGTCATTGTTTCTACCTAAAAACAAGCAAGTTTTATCAGAGTAATAATATTTAATTTGGGGGAAGCAACCAGTTCTAACCCCCAAAACAGCAAATAGCTGGCTGATGTACTGATGTGAGGACTGCATCTATACTGCAGGCTGACTGTATTTTCATGATCAATTTTTTTTGGGTTGCCTCGGGCCATACCCTCCCCCCCACTTTTTGGCCTGTGCAGGCCTCATTATGGTCATTACCCCAGCTGCCTTTTTGCCTCTTCTCCGTCTTTCCGTGTGTCACCGAATTCTGCCCCCAGGCTTACTATTTACTTCTGCCTCCTGGCCTGGCTTTATTCCATCTATGCCCCGGACTATAGGACAAATGGACAGCTTTGATGTGGGTTCTGAGGGAGTCCAGGTTACTACTGCCATTCCTTACCAGAGGGGACAGCTTTCTGAACTTCTCCATAGCATATTCCATCTGGCCAGACATCATAAGAGGATGCCTGGGAGGAACATCCCCTAGACTTACCGAAATGGCATAGGACTCCTCCCACTGTCGTGGGAGGACAGTGGAGTCCAGTTACCCACGCTTTTGTTGCTTCCTCTTTGTCTTTAGGACTTTTATACTCTATGGAACCCTGGCCAGAGGTCATCTTCACCCTTCCCGTTTTGTGGATGTACTCAACCATTGAACTTCTTGCGCTGCGAGACTCCCCCCTCTCGCAGGTCTGGCCCTCCATGTTATCGAGGGCCTACCTTGATGATGGGTTTTGGAACCCAGAGAGGTGGCATGCTGTGAAGAGTGGGTTGAGGGTTTTTTTACACAAATTTTTAGTTAAACTTTTAAGGGGTTCCTGGGGGGGGAAGGGTCAGACTATAATTTGGGCTGTGGGTATGGGGGATAACCCATTAAGGGGAGGGTCGGGTCTGGCTTTGAAACGCGGCATGCAGGGTGGGGGACCCGGGGTCAAGGGGGGGCTAGAGCTTATCCAGATAGTGTTTCTAACATCAATACTGTGAGTAGGAGGGGCAGATACAGCAGGAGCAGGGGGCCATATCGTGTTAGGGGAGTGTGTGCTCACTGTTTACAAGCGGTGGCGCACTCCGGCCCCCAGGGCTCCACTCGTTCCCCAGGTTGCACAGACGCTGAGGGCCTGGGCCTTCGGCTGATGTTGTGCAATGCCAGGTCTGTAGTAAATAAGGCCCTCCTCATTTGTGATCTTGTTCAGGAGGGGGGAGCGGACCTGGCAGGTATTACAGAGACCTGGTTGGGCCAGGACGGGGGATTCGCCTCATTGAAATGTGCCCACCAGGTTTCCATGCATTCCATCACCTGAGGTCACAGGGGAGGGGCGGGGGGGTAGCAGTTATTATTAAAGAAGGTCTTAGACTGAGGGAGGCCACTGTTCCTCAGACGGCCGGCTGTGAGTCCCTCCTTGTGAAGTGGGGTCATGGAGTACAGATGGGTTTGCTGATCACGTATCTGGCTCCCTGCCATATGGCAGCAGCCCTGCCCAAGCTCCTCAACGTTATTGCAGCAGTGGCAGTTGACACCCCTAGACTTATGGTCATGGGGGATTTCAACCTGCTGTCCGTGGGTGAGATGTCTGAGGTGGCTCGGGAGTTCATGGCTTCCATGACAACTTTGGACCTGACCCAGCTAATTCATGGCCCTACCCACACGGGGGTAAACACGCTGGACCTGGATTTTATCTCTGGACAGTGGTTGAGTGATCTGGAGATAGGGGATATAGTCACCGAGCCCTTGTCATGTTGGATCACTCTCTCCTTCGCCTTGACCTTCGAACCGCTGCACCTCGCCGCAGGGAGGCAGAGCCGGTAAGATTGTTCTGCCCCAGGCACCTGATGGAGCCTGACAGGTTCCAGATGAAGCTTGGGCCATTCCCTGAGGCTCTGGCTCACACCTCGACTGGAGACCTAGTGGCCGCCTGGGACAGGGCGGCCGCTGGAGCTCTGGATCGGGTCGTGCCTTTGCTGCCTCTGACCCAGCGCCGATCTCATCTGGCTCCTTGGTTCACTGAGGAGCTAAGGGAGATGAAGTGCCAGAAAAGACGCCTAGAGAGTAGTTGGAGGGCCAGTCTTTCTGAGTCTGACTGGACACTGGTAAGATCTCATATTAAGAATTACCTAGTGGTGAGAAAAGCAGCAAAGTGTAATTATTTTGCTGCTCTTATTGCGTCATCAGAGAACTGCCCGACCGCCCTGTTTAGGGTGACCCACTCCTTGCTCCACCAGGGAGTGCGAGAGGACCCCTTGGAGGGTAGAGCTGATGACTTTGTACAGTATCTGCATGACAAAATCACTCAGATTCGGGAAGGTCTGGACTCCGACTGGGTAGTTTCAGGGGGGATGACTGAGGCAGGTCTTGAGAATGTTATCTGGGATGAGTTTGATTCTGTGACTCCTGATGACGTGGACAGGATTCTGGGTAGACTGAACACAACCACATGTTTGTTGGACCCATGTCCCTCCTGGTTAGTGCTGGCTTCTCGGGAGGTGACGCGAGGCTGGCTCCAGGGGATTATAAATGCTTCATTGAGTGAGGGTGACTTCCCTGCCGCCTTGAAAGAGGCAGTGGTGAGGCCTCTCCTCAAGAAGCCTTCCCTGGACCCAGCAGTGTTGTCTAATTATCATCCAGACTCCAAACTTAGCTTTGTGGCGAAGGTTGTTGAGAGTGTGGTTGCGCGACAACTCCCCCAGCACATGGATGAAACGGTGTATCTGGATCCGTTCCAGTCGGGCTTCAGGCCTGGGTACAGCACGGAAATGGCATTGGTCACGTTGGTTGATGATCTCTGGAGGGCTCGGGACAGAGGTTGCTCCTCTGTCCTGGTCCTATTAGATCTCTCAGTGGCTTTTGATACCATCGACCATGATATCATGCTGCACTGACTGGAAGAGTTAGGGGTGGGGGGGCACTGTGTTGCAGTGGTTCTCCTCCTTTCTCTCCCACCGGTTGCAGTCTGTGTTAGCAGGGGGGCAGAGGTTGACCCCGAGGTGCCTTGGGGTGCCACAAGGGTCGGCCCTCTCGCTCCTTCTGTTCAACATTTATGTAAAGCCGCTGGGTGAGATCATCCGTGGTTTCGGGGTGAAGTACTATCAGTACGTTGACGATACTCAGCTGTACATCTCCACCCCGGACCACCCCAACGATGCCCTTGAAGTGATGTCCCGGTGCCTGGAGGCCGTGCGGATCTGGATGGGGAGAAACAGGCTCAGGCTCAACCCATCCAAGACCGAGTGGCTGTGGTTTCCGACGTCCCGATATAGTCAGTTCGTGCCATCATTGACTATTGGGGGCGAATCGCTGGCTCCCACGGAGAGGGCTCACAACTTGGGCGTCCTCCTGGATTCACGGCAGTCTTTAGAAGAGCATTTGATGGCCGTGACCAGGAGGATTTTTCATCATGTTCGCCTGATTCGCCAGTTGCATCCCTTTCTGGATCGGGACTCCTTACGCATGGTCACTCATGCCCTCGTCACTTCCTGCCTGGACTACTGCAACGCTCTCTACATGGGGCTCCCCTTGAGGAGCATCCGGAGGCTCCAACTGGCACAGAGTGCGGCCGCGCGGGTGGTAATGGGAGCGACATGGCGTTCTCATGTAACACCTCTCCTGCACGAGCTGCACTGGCTCCCGGTGGTCTTCCGTGTGTGCTTCAAGGTCTTGGTTATCACCTTTAGAGTGCTCCATGGCTTAGGACCTGGTTATCTACGGGGCCACCTGCTGCCACCAGTAGCCTCCCACCAGCCGCATAGAGAGGGGCTCCTCCGGGTACCGTCGGCCAAACAATGTCAACTGGCGGCCCCCAGGGGGAGAGCCTTCTCTGTGGGGGCACCTACTATCTGGAATGAGCTCCCCCCGGAAATACAGAGGATCCTGGATCTACACACCTTCCGCCGCACTCTCAAGACCTTTTTATTCCATCAGGCTGGCCTGGCCTAATTTTTCCCTTTTTCCCTTTTTAAAACGCAAATTTTAATTCATTCTTAATTTATTGGGGTGTTTTATTTATTTATTTATTTTATTTATTATTTCAATTTGTATACCGCCCTACTCCCAAAGGACTCAGGGTGGTGAACAGCCATAGAATAAAACATATAAATACAAAATTTAAAATAAAGTAAAACGAATTACATAAAAAACCCCTCAACCCCCTCTTCGCCCCATGCCACCTCTCTGGGTTCCAAGACCCGTCATTGAGGTAGGCCCTCGATAACGTGGAGGGCCAGGCTTGCAAGAGGGGGGAGTCTCGCAATGCAAGAAGCTGTGCCCTTAAGTACATCTAAGCTCTGAGGTAGTGATAAGGTATGGCCAAGGGCTCCATCCTAGATGGTCCCTCACAAGCCAAAACACCCCATCTCTATTACAGCGAGCCTAGAGCCGGGTCGCCATCTTGGAGCATGTTAGATCTGTCTTCGGCCAAATTGTTTAATTCAGTTTTATTCTGTTTTTAAATTTTGTATTTATGTGTTTTTATCTTCTGGCTGTTCACCACCCTGAGTCCTTCAGGAGTAGGGCGGTATATGAATCAACTAAACTAAACTAAACTAACTAAACATAGTCTCATAGTGTTATCATGGAATAGTTTTTTAAGTACAAGCTTTTAATGTAAATATATGGCAGTCCATTTGACAGAAAAGTCAGGTATTTTTTTTCTGAACAAAATATATAACTGGATAAGCACCCCCAAAAATAATAATTCAGAAATGTTCTGTAGCTTGGAACTCCAACAGCCATTTTGGGTATTCATAAGAAGAAACAAAGCCGAACGATGAGGTTTAAATTTTAACAATAATATAATAATGATATCATGAATCATGCAGATGCTTCAAGTACTATCAATCAAAATATCTACCTGCATATATAGACTTTTCCTACTGTCTCAGGTAATTACAGCAGGTCACTGATTTTCATAGCATTCTCTTAGTAATCCCATATCCCCATATGATGGAAGAATAACAGAGAGCATTTCTTTATTATCTGCCCACAGAAACCAATTTAACATAGGCATCCCTTTGGCACTTTGTGGAAAGAATAGGAAGGAAGTTGCTGTCATTCTAATGCACATAGAAACATCTAGTGATTGGCTTTGGAATGAAGTCACATTTCTCAGAGGTATTCTGTCAAGCACAGCATGCTAATGATAAGCATGAACAATGCCAAATGGAGCAACATCGTCTTTTCTTTCTGCCAGCCTCCCTTCTGATAAAACATGTAAGTCTCCTTCCCTACCCTGAAAGGGAATGTTTTATGTTTTACTGGCATGAATCAGAGAGAGTGAGAAGCTAGTCCTGCCCTTATTGATACTATTCTCACTTATCAGCATTAACCAAAAGTTTTCAGCTTTCATTCAGTTGAAATTCATTTGGATTTTTGCCTGAAATTTCTGGATAGAAATGTTGAATTTTTCCTCCAAATGTTGAATATCAATATTATGAATTATTTCAATGTACTTTAGTTCTTTGTCCCAGAGTACCAACATCCAGGCTAATTTTTCTAATTAAAGTTACCTGTGGGCATTCTTGATATCATTTTCTAGCTACACTTCTGGTATAACTATTGCCCTTCCCAGAGAATTTTTTCATGTTTCATTCATTGTATTACATTCTCCTATTCGTTAGTCTATTTCTCTGGACAGTTAATCTGTTGAGTAAGCCTATCATGCGGAAAGTCAGTGAAATAGAACCGCCAAATTTTTCTCCTCCTTATAGACACATGTCTCTTCATGCAGTGCACATATATGTGTTTTATTCTTTTCTGTCTGCTAAAGCTTAGCAGAAATCCTTGGAAAGATTTTTCCCCCCATATATTCTGTTCTTATATATATTCTCATCCTGACTTATCTGCACAAAGCTGAAACCTCGCTGAAACTATCAAGTACCAATTCTCTCACTTCCCTTGCACTCCTTTATTACTTTTGTCAGGCTTCCTTCAACTTATTTCTTTCTTCCATGAGATACTAGCAGAATACAGAACAGCATTCTGTACTCAATACAGTACAGTGACTGGCAAATTAACCAGAACATTTAGGCACACAGTTTTCACCTGGAAGCAGAATCTGAAATGATATAAGCTAAAATTGCTCATATAGCACAGTTTTCATCAATAATAAATTATTTTTACATAACTTGTGGTTTAAAGAAAAAGTTAGTTAAAGAAATAAGTCAGAATGCATAAGGTGTCAATGATAAATTTTGGTACAATTCTTGCTAGACAATTTTCTAGATATCAGAGAAGTTGAATTCCATCAAGGGAAGTACTAACTGATAGGATTCTAAAATCCCAATTAACCCTTTCTTTGTGTGGAAAAATCTGCCATTTTTGTGATGTGTCCAATCTGCTTTCTGTCAGGTTGAACTAAAAATTCTCAACCTAATTGCAATAGAACAAGTCCTGGATTTTAAAAAAGAATTTACTCGAGTGGAATTCTGATATCTTAACTTTCAGTCCAATGCACTATCTCAAAGACATTAGTCCCTTTTATTAACATTGGTTTATTGGTACAGGCATCTATTACACAATGAAGAGCCAATTACTTGCAGACTAGAATTTCTGACCTTCAGTATTTGACTGCCTGTATTTAGCTGAACTAACTCTGGCTTCCTCAAAATGCTGCTTCAAATATGTTCCTGCTTTAGCAGAGGTGTCACTGCAGTGGACACTGAGATGCAGCTGCAGAGTCAAAGACTGGGAATAGTTCTGCAACCTTGATTCCATGCATTGCATCACAAGTATTCTATATTCTCCACCTGAGTAAGTGTGAACATATTATGACACTCAATCATGAATTCTTCATTTAATGAACATTCACAACTGAATGAATGTTCATAGTATGCACTAATCTTGATAGCAACTTTCTATCTGGGCATATGTTAAGATTACTAAAGATTCAGTTTTCCAACATCTCAAGGTACTTTCAGTATCTCCCTAATTGTTACAATATATACTATGAAATAATATATTCAGTCTGAGTTAATTAAGATAATCCTCAGTTAGCTACATCTACGGAGAAAGACTCCATATGCACTATATGCTGGTGTTGCAAAACAAACAAATGTACACCAATGAAATTTAAAAATAAAAACAAATCTACACGAGAGCTAAGAAGTCTAGTTATACATTATTTATATTAGGATTTTAGAATGATTGCAATTAGTTATAAGATTAGGAGATCAATTATTTATTAAGTGATTCGGCTATGCAAATAATATTTGTTTCAGAATTCAAAATATACCAAAAGCTGAATAGTGCTTTCTGCAATGTATAGCATTGCTAATTTCAGATATCAGTCAAGTTATTGCTAATGCTGTAGAAAATTCAATTCCTTTAGCCATTCATATTACCTTGAAAATGTACAGAACAGGTTAGTCTTGTCTAGATGATATATAACTCCAATACATTATGATAACCTTCCATCTGTTTATAATCATTGTCCATAACAAAATTCAAGAAATTTATAATGAGGCCTCTATTCTAGTTTACATTAGATAGATAAATCATTGCTGCTTGAATGGGTTTTTATGTTTTTGATTAGCTTCAACCCTTAAATCACTAATAATATTTCAACAGGTGTGTATGTATGTATGTATCTATACACACACACACACACATACCAGGGTTGGGTTTCACTTACGTTTGCTACCGGTTTGCACACACGCACACCACTTCTGCACATGCACAGAAGCTTCTGCACATGCGCAGATTGTACTTGATGATGTCCGGGCGGGTGGGCATAGCCTCCTGCCACCGCTGCTACCAGTTCGCCTGAACTGGGGTGAACCGGTAACAACCAACCACTGACACACATGCGCGCACACACACACACACACACACCCCAAATGTAATATTATTTCATTTCCTCACTAGTAATTTACAGCATTTTTTCAGTCATCAAACAGCATCATGTGCTGACAGATCATCAGTGATAATACATATTGCCTCAACCATGTCTGAATAACAGGTTTGTGTATAAATAACTTTAGTTTCTTCCTACAAATTCAAAAGTTCAAAGGTCTAAGGAGACACTCAATTATCCAGGTCATGGTTGTCCCAAAGGTGGTTTTTCAAGAGGCAACTGGACTTTCAGAGCTGAAGAAGCTTCTTGGATGAGAAGCGAAACGTCTTCAAAGAAAAACCAGAAAGTCCAGTTGCCTCTTGAAAAAGCACCTTTGGGAAAAGTTCAAAGGATTCTAATAATACAAAATATAGTAGGTTTCAGTAGAGACAACTAAACATGTAACTGTAAACAACTGTCTGAATCTCAGATCCATGGGTCTTGACCCTTTGATCTAAAGATAAGATTTCAACCAGATGTCAACATTTATTTGACCAAGGGACCTCCCATTGTAATTATTGCTTTTGCCCACATCAACTATTGCAGTTGTGTTTATGTCGTTGATTGTTAACCAGTCACAATTTTGAGCAAATTTATTTGCAGCTTTTACCTCGATCACACTGGCAGCTCCCAGGCAAACAATAATAAAATATAATTCTTCATAAAACAAGAAATTGTATCCATAAAACTGAAACCTAGGATATAGCTTTGGTAAAAATACATGTTAGGAGGATGCAACAAATCCTGGGATATTTTTAAACTTTTCATTGTTCAAAGTGTCAGGTATGCCTCCATGGGGGAACAAGTTATACATTAGGATAGCTGTCACTAGCAATTGGGCAAAATTAAGTTTATTATTCATTACCATCCATCATTTTTTATATCAGATGTCTGCCATTTGAAATTGGGTATTTAGATAGTGCTTAAGCTTAGGACATGCGTATAATCTTTATATCTGCTTGAGATGAGTGCTATCCCAGAGGCCAATTGCTGATGCTGATCATAACTTTTAAATGGGTTTCTCCTTCAATCAAGAAGGCTAAAAGAACTTTTCTGTTCTCAGAGAGGGATTATGGTAATGAACAAAAGCTTAAACCTCCCCCAAATGATGCTGTGCTTTCTAGCAACTGCAAACCAGATGACGTGGGTCTTTCACTCCTTCTTACCTGTTTCATGATTTCAGCTGCTGTGTCATGTGAACAATCAAATATCACAAAGAACTCTCTGCCCCTCTTCATCTCCTTGAGTAATGGTCGAGCATCTTTATTTCCAGAGGGCAATTGGCGTATTTTGATTTTAATGTTATACCTTGAAGGGGCTTTGATGAGTTCTTGCAGACGAATTAGACCTAGAAAATGACATCCAATCATTCAGATGTCCTTTCTGTTCAATGAATCTTTGCTGCCATTTATATTCAACATTTAAATTGACTGTTCTGCAACAAATTTCAAGTTTGCACCAACTAAAAGCTTAATTTGATAGACTATAATTGATCACACAATTCATTGAGAAAATTTATAGACTTTTTTCCCTTCCTTTTCTGAACTTTTATGATATGCTTTCAAACCAGGTTTTTGGGGCAGCCCTACATCAGAGAGTTTTACCAGGGTCATTGGAATTATTTTTTTTTTGTTTTACTACCATTTTTTCTTATAAGAAGAAAAATAAATTAAGAGGGAAAGCTGAAAGATGTATTTGTATGTTAGTGCTATAGAATCTTCATCTAGAAAAAGAGTAGAAACTATATAGTCGTCAAATAAATTGACACATTTTCCTGTGGGAGTGGGTTTTTTGTTGTTGTTGTTGTTAAATGAGTTTTATTATTTAAAACAGGGGTGTGCAAGGCCAATCCACATGTAGACTTTGAATAATATATAAAAAGGCATAGCCAAACAGTGGGAAGATCTAGGACAAAATTTGCTATCTTTGCATTACGAATGGTAATTAGCCAAGTTGTATATTTCATAATTTTATTTCACATTAAAAATTAAAATTTAATGACAAACTTTGGAAAATATTTCAGGAGCTCATGTGTTTCATGTAAGTATACCCTGGTATAAGTATTGCCATTAAAAAAAAAACCTCTTAAATATCCAAGATCACTGAACAATTAAATAGTGCACAAATGGAATAACGTTTCATAAAAAATTCAGCAAGTGAACTGTTGCGATATTCAGCAGTATTTTTTTAAATTTTTTATACTTTTTTTTATTACAGTAGAGACATAAAGCGAACAGGGGAAAAAATGATAATGAATAAAGAATTATTTATTGATTAAAATAAACTAAAGAAAAGGGGGAAAAAAGATCCCGAGGATAGCAACGTAAAATTAATTTACTGTTAAACATTACCAACTGCATACTGTTAATATGAAAATATTTTGCTGGTCAGTTTCTTTGCTGGTCAGTTTTCACCAGCACTGACATGTTCCAAATGTTGCCTTTAGTACCATGGACAGTGTCCATGCAACCATGGGAATTTTGGAATTTGACATCTATACACCTAAAAGACGGCCAGGTTTGGCAATGCTGAGATAGGCAGCAAGATGAGGGAACCAGCCATGTGACTCCCCTGTAATCCAAGATTCAAAAGGAGATATCAAAGTGAAGGAGACAGAATTGCGGTGGGTTTGGCAAAGGAGAAATGAGACAGTCACTCCAAGGTTGTAGAGGGAATGAAACTCAGAAAAGTTGAAGTTACATAGCAAGATAAAGGATGGGAGGTATATTGAAATATGGCATAACTGGGTTAGAAATGCCTAATGTTTTTCTAGCTTTGGCCAAGGACAGAAACACAGGGTAAAAGGGGGTCTACACAAGGTGACTATGTCAGTACCAGAGCTCACAAACAACTTCCCTTTTTATACATTACTTCTGTCATATTTCTGTAAATAACTAAACAAGAAATGAAAACATAATGAGGTGCTACACATGAAAAATAGTGCACAGGCATCAAACATAGAAATTTAAAGTGGTACAGGATGCTGGAGAAAATACATACAGTTGAATATTTTATGTTTCCTCAAAAAGTAAAGATGCTTCCGATATGTGTGTGTGTGTGTGTAATAACCTTGTTACAAATATGAATGGATGTGTTTTGCTAAATTCAGTATATAGGTAATCCTCGACTTTCTGTTGTTAAGCAAGACAGCTGTTATTTGAGTTTTGAAAAGTCTATGATTTTTCTTGCCACAGTTGTCAAGTGAATCACTTGCAGTTGTTGTCAAAAGGTTACAAAAGCTGATCACATTACCCTTGGACACTGCAACTGTCATAAATGCATGCCAGTTGCCAAGCATCCACATTCTGATTAATTGATGATGGGGATGCTGCTATGGTAAGTGCAAAAAAATGGCCCAAGTCACTTTTTCACTACCATTGTAATTTCCAACTGTCACAAAATGAATAGTTATAAGTCAAGGAGTACCAGCATAGTACTCTCTATCAGCCTTCCAACCATGTATGCAAATAATTCTTCCTTTATGCATATACGTGCATATACATATTTAAGATTTTTTCCTATTAAGTCAAAAGAGAGCCTGCAAAGAAAGAATCTGAATACAAGCAAGGGTTGCTTAAAAGAACCCTCTAACAAATGGTAATTATGGTAATGAATCTTCAGCAGATTTGTGAATGGACCCATTTGCTTTGCTTTGTATGGCTCCCTTTAACAGCTGCAGCATAAGAATTGCACTAAAAGAATGCAAACTGATGTATAAAACAGCATAAAGCATCACTCTAGTTACTCTGATGTGCAGGAGTGATTGCTCTCTTGCCAGCTATTGTCTTTGCTCAAGGCCTGATAAAATTGACTTTTTTCCTGGTAGACTGATTTTCTTCTTTCAGTTTTTAAACATCCACAAGCCAATAAAAAATATAAACCATTATGACTATTGAAGTGAAAATTGTAGAAGCACTAAACAAATCTGGTATTGGCTGGATCAGGTTTGTGGGCCTCCTGAAAAGACTTTGAATATAAAGGTAGATATGTAAGTTGGCTGTAAATCGACAGCTTGGCTAACTTAAGCTTCTATTGCCAAAGAAGCTTCTTCAGTCATTCCTGAAGGTTACAGTAACAGAGAAATGCATAATAATATCTGCTGTAATTATGGTTTAAAACTTCTTGGCTCAAAAAGATCCTTTATCATATGGTGTCCTCAGCAAGAAAAATTCACATTATAGCTGCTGGTGAATTTTAATGGGGGAAAATGGATTAATTAAGGAAAAGTCTAATCCATAATGCCTACAGATCTCTTTTCATATCTACAAATATGTTCTGTGAGGTGACAAGAAAATATGTCAAAAGGAAGAAGAGATTATATTACTTTTCAACCCTTATCATTTTTGGTTCCTTTCCCATTTAGCTCCAAAATAAATGAGAGCCCATCTGATGCAAAAATGATCTTGTCATGAGGATTAGAAGGGATCTAACTCTTTGCTATCTGCTCTAGCTTTGGTTTGAACAGGGCTTCCCACTCCTATAAGTTGCATGCTGGGAAGGGAGATGGTAGTTAAGATCATTGGGTGGTTTTTTCCCCACTCTGATAAATTACAGACACATCGTCCCTTGATATGCATCCCTGATATTTCATAGCTTCCTGTCTCAAGGATAGAGTCTGAGTTTGGATTCAAATGCCTACTTTGGACTAAAAAGAAGTAATAAATATATAATGCATAAATGCTATGTAGGCAAAATATCATTAAAAGAATTCAATATTTTTTAATTAATTTAAGAATTACTTACAATAGATACAAAAATAGGCTGGCAAACCTACAGAAAATATCATTAAAAGAATTCAATATTTTTTAAATTAATCTAAGAATTACTTACAATAGAAACAAAAATAGGCTGGCAAACCTACAGAAAAAAATTAAGAATAGAATCCCATGGATTACTTGATTGAATGTCTATTCCATTTTCGTCTATTGGAGGTGGTGCAGTGGTTAGAATGCAGTATTGCATTCAGCTCACTGCCAGCAATTTGATTCTCACCGGCTCAAGGTTGACTCAGCCTTCCATCCTTCCGAAGTTGGTAAAATGAAGACCCAGATTGGTTGGGGCCAATATGCTGACTCTGTAAACTGCTTAGAGAGAGCTGTAAAGCACTAAGGAACAGTATATAAATCTAAGTGCTACTGCTATTGTTACTGTACCTCAGGGGTGAAATCTAAAATTTTTTGCTGTGGGCGTGGCTTAATTAGTGGGCGGGACTTGGTGGTAAGGTGACTGGGTGGGCGTGGCCAAGTCAATGTCACTTCTTTGCCCTTTTTTAACCTACAAAACACAACACAACACAACTGGCTCACCCACAATGTAACAGCAGCTGTGCTAGATCCAAAATGGCCCCGCAACAAGCAGGAACCTCACACAGCCACAAAAAGCCCAAAAAAACAACTTTCACACTTTACACACACACAACACAACACAACACAACTGACTCACCCACAATGTAAAAGCAGCTGTGCTAGACCCAAAATGGCCCTGCAACAAGCAGGAACCTCACACAGCCACAAAAAGCCAAAAAAACAACTTTCACACTTTACACACACACAACACAACACAACACAACACAACTGGCTCGCCCACAATGTAAAAGCAGCTGTGCTAGCCTCAAAATGGCCCCTGCAACAAGCAGGAACCTCACACAGCCACAAAAAGCCCAAAAAACCAACTTTCACACTTTACACACACAAAATTCCACATACAGCTATGTGAGATTTTGTGTGGTTGTGTAGTTAGAGTGAAACACTACAGAAACACACTAAATCTCAGAAAGCTGCACAAGTACAGCTATTTTATTTTAATTTATTTTTATTTTTATATAAAAGCAGCTAAATTTAAAACTTCCTAAACTTTAAATGGCTAGGCCTAAAAAAAGAACAACTAAAAAAAATCCCAATTAACTATTTTTTTTAAAGCTCCCAAAGGGGAAAAAAACTTACCCAATAGAACAGGGGTCTCCAACCTTGGCAACTTTAAGACTTGTGGACTTCAACTCCCAGAATTCCTCAGCCAGCTTTGCTGGGAGTTGAAGTCCACAAGTGCAGATAGAGCGGCTCACTGATGAGCTTGATTGCAGGCAGAGAGATTCAGTTGCTTGCTGATGCAATGGATTGCAGGTATTACAGCAAGCAAAGCAAGGCAGGCGTTGTGACCAGCAGCTAAGGTAAGTAAGCTGGAGGCTGGGGTGGGGGGGGGGAGGAGAAAAAGAAACTTTTTTTCTTTTAAATGGGTCTGAAAATCCAAGCTGAGTTGCCTGATTAACAGGCAACTCAGCTGGGATCGTCAGAGCTTGGCTCGTCAGAGCTATTTAAAAGGAAAAAAAGGCTCTGATGATCGCGCGGCTCAGCTGGGCATGGGGGGCAGGGATTTTTGCTACCGGTTCTCCGAATTGCCCGCCGCCATCGCTACCTACTCGCCCGAGCCGGTCCGAACCAGGAGCATTTCACCCCTGCTGTACATCCAATTCATCCCTAATCCTATAAATGTTCATCTTCTGTTTAGGTCAATGGACCTTATTCCCAGGCAAGTATTTAAAGGACAAAATTTCCATAAAAAGATATAACCAGCATCAAATAGCAATGAGATAAAACAACAAGCATAATGAGAAAAACTATGCACGTTTTTAAACAATAAGCACCTCCATGAGACCTCTGTGATGAGGTACTAGGAAGCATCATGGAGGTCTCCTGGAGGCCTTGCAAGGTGAGGTGAAGTGTCACAAAGACCTGATGAAGGCCTAACAAACAGCAGCAGTTGCCTCAGCTGGGTATGCTTCATCAGTAGCAAGAAGAAGACAGAGAAGGTAAGCTGGTGATAGTGGGGGGCAACATGGCTAGGCAGCAGTGGCAGAGTGGAGGGCAGCCAAAAGGGTAGAGATGAGGGGGATAGGTGAGGGGGGGGAGTTTTTTTCCTTCTTGCAAGAGATAGATTGGGCTAAGTATCAATAATTAGCCCAAGGTCACCGATTGAGTTTCTGTGGCTGAAGGTTGATTTCAACCTAGTCTTCTTGGTTGTAGTCCAGTATCTTAGGTGAATGCAGAAGAAGAAGGCATAGTGCTTCTGAAGTTCTGATCTAATAATTAAGCAGGCAGAAAATCGGGAGCATTTCTGTTAATATAATATTTTTAAATGTTTCACGATACTTACTTGTACTGTCTTCATATACAACTGTTACTATCTTCCAGTTGTAATGTAGCACCAAATCTAAAACTGCCCGGCTGATGGCTGCATAGTCTGGATAGAGGTTGATGTAAAAAGAGTCTTTGAGGTCCACTGTTGGATGTTTCCATCGTATCTGAATATGTGGAACTTCAAGGGCATTGCAAATAGATTGTACTGCACTGACTGATGAGCTGTGGGATGGTCCAAATAATGCAGCTACCCCCAGAGCAAGCTGGTCACATGCTGAGAGAGGGGGGGAGGGAGGGAGGGAGAGAGAGGGAGAGGGAGAGGGGGAGGGAGAGGGAGGGAGAGAGAGAGAGAGAGAGAGAGAGAGAGAGAGAGAGAGAGAGGGAGTTGTAACAACATTTCTCATTTGTAATGCTTTTTCTAAACAGAAAAATGCAATAAGAATAAATTGTTTCATTTGTGGAAAAATAATTACACGGCAGAAAAAAGGGAATTATGTGTTCATCAATGCTTCACTGTTTTAAATTAACCAATAAGGAGGCTTCCTGTTACAAAATTCAGCATACAAAATAAATAAGGGAACTAAAAACAACAACTAAAACTAGAAAATCATAGGCATACTAATTATAGGTATACTAGTATTAACAAGAGCCGCAGTGGTACAATGGTTAGAATACAGTACTGCAGGCTATTTCTGCTGACTGCCAGCTGCCTGCAATTTGGCAGATCAAATCTCACCAGGCTCAAGGTTGACTCAGCCTTCCATCCTTCCGAGGTCAGTAAAATGAGGACCCAGACTGTTGGAGGCAATATGCTGACTCTGTGAAACCACTTAGAGAGGGCTGTAAAAGCACTGTGAAGTGGTATATAAGTCTAAGTACTATTGCTGTTGTTATTAAACATTGAATCAAGTTTTTAAAAGGTCTATATCTAGTAATTGTAGTTTGATTTAATCAGCTATGTTTATTGAGAATTTCTCAAGATAGGTTTAAGCTCAAAATTATATAACAAATATTTATTTTTTTATTATATAAACCCAAAATAAACAATTTAATTATTTTGAATATAATTTTATGAGTCAAGCTTTCAATACAACTTAATGAACAGATGAGAGTAATTGCTTTGTCATTTTTATTTAATCATAGATATACTAATTCCAATTAATTCTAATTTCTATTTTGTCTGGATTATCCTATGTAAACACATTTTATGTGTTGTATACAGACAGACAGACACAATATATTAAAAAGGTTAACAAGAATTTGAAACATCAGAGGAAATATACAGTTTTTCCACACACACAAATATTTATAGGTATAACTATGAATAACATTTTTGTCTGACATACTGTTTCCAGCTCTAAATAGATACCATCCTGTTTTTTAGGAAGATTTCATTTAACTACTCTACAATTTTGACTTATTGATGAATTGATTATGTGCAATCAATATGCACTGAGTGAATTAGGTGCAAGTCATTTTTGACTCCTAGAGACACTGATAGATTTTCTCCATGACAACCTATCCCTAACCTAGTCTTTCAGGTCTTCCACTGGTGTATTCATTACCAGTGTAACTGAATCTATCCACCTTCCCTTTGGTTGTCTTCTTCTCTTTCTTTCCCAGCATTAATGCCTTCTCCAGAAAGCTAGGTCTTTGCATAATGTGTCCAAAGAAGGATAATTTGAGCCTGACTATTATTTTTTCTTCTTTTAAACACTCAAAACCCTCTGAAAATCAACATATACTATCATTTTCATCATTATTTTATCATCCCTTCTTCCCCTTTTTTCTTTGTTTCCTTGATCTAACCAAGGAAGGCACTTTTGGAGACTATTAGACTATTATTTGTTTTTGTTGCCCAATTTTGGCAGTACAGTGAAAGGATGCTATAGGGTTGTATGTGGTCTGTAGGCTGTCCTTTCCTGTATTGAGGATATTATAGATAATAATCCAGGAGACACCTGACTTTTTCTTATGAGCCAAGATCAGCCAGCATAATACAATTATTCAAGATGATTCAGAAACGAATTACAGGAGGTTGTCAGAGGATTGACATAGGACAGTTATTCACCTAGAGCATATTAAATTATTTTGGCAATGTTTTTGGGAATATCAGCAGACTAATCTTATTAAAGTTGGAGGCTATGCACAAAAAATCAGAGATTCTTTTACATGTACAATGAAATAATAAGGGAATTTTCAAATTGTTTCAAATCTCAAAATCTTCATTAAAAGATATTCAGGTCACAAATCCAATCTCTGGTGATAGAAAGTAAATTGGGCTTAAGCAAACTTTTTTCTTCTGCCCTTAGTCTCTCATGGAACCCATCAAATTCTTGTGGAGCTCCAGAGTTCTGTGGAAAAGTGAAAAGTCCTGTTGTAATATATGCATCAAGAAAAGATATTGAGTAAAATTAAGGAAATTGTCTATGTTCAATCTACACAGGTAAGATTGAGCAAATAATTACCCAGTATTAGATGTTTTCTATCCAATCTCAATCTAATGAGTGGGAGACCATGATTCTATCTTTCAAAAGTTTAGCATTTGAAAACGATCTTTAACAAATAGTATACTCCAAATGAGATAAAATATAGGAAAGAAGACCCCTAACATTGTATTTGCCCTGGAGGAGATTATAAAGATGAGTTTTATTTATTTTATGTTTATTTTATTTGTTATTGTTTTTATTCAAGAGATTTTAAACAGAATAAAAACAATGCAAATGCAAAGACAAAAAGAATGCAGTGCAAAGACAAAAAGAATAGGGGAAAGTAATAAGAAACTGAAAAGAAAGAAAAGAAAGAAAAGATAGAAAGAAAAAAGTAATAAAGAAGTGGCAATATTAACAGCAGTTTTAAGTACATTTATATTTTTATCCTTTCTAAGATGTCATAATTCCCTTATTTCTGTATTCTACCCGTTTGAATCATTGAAACCACAAATCACCAGTTCACTTTTCTTTTCAGAAAAAGTCCTTTAGAGACTTTCAATCACTAATAACTGTAGTAATTGATCTTTCTCTAAGCAAATAAGTTGCCATCTTTGCTAATTCCATCTTCTTCACCAACCATTCCTCCACTGTGGGTAGAATAGAATAGAATAACAGAGTTGGAAGGGACCTTGGAGGTCTTCTAGTCCAACCCCCTGCTTAGGCAGGAAACTCTACACCACTTCAGACAAATGGTTATCCAACATCTTCTTAAAAATTTCCAGTGTTGGAGCATTCACAACTTCTGCAGGCAAGTTGTTCCACTGATTAATTGTTCTAACTGTCAGGAAATTTTTCCTAAGTTGCTACTCTCCTTAATTAGTTTCCACCCATTGCTTCTTGTCCTACCCTCAGGTGCTTTGGAGAATAGCTTGACTCCCTCTTCTTTGTGGCAGCCCCCGAGATATTGGAATACTTCTATCATGTCTCCCCTAGTCCTTCTTTTCATTAAACTAGACATACCCAGTTCCTGCAACCATTCTTCATATGTTTTAGCCTCCAGTCCCCTAATCATCTTTGTTGCTTTTCTCTGCACTCTTTCTAGAGTCTCCACATCATTTTTATATCATGGCAACCAAAACTGAACACAGTTTTCCAAGTGTGGCCTTACCAAGGCATTATAAAGTGGTATTAACACTTCACGTGATCTTGATTCTATCCCTCTGTTTATGCAGCCTAGAACTGTTTTGGCTTTTTTGGCAGCTGCTGCACACTGCAGGCTCATATTTAAATGGTTGTCCACTAGGATTCCAATATCCCTCTCACAGTTAGTACTATTGAGCAAGGTACCACATATACTGTACCTGTGCCTTTTGTTTTTCTTGCCTAAAGGTATTTCTGAATCTTTCCATTTTTGCACATATAGTAGTCTTAAAGAGGTAATTGTATATGAAAGTAGTCTTCCATAGCGTTTTCTAATTGTCTAATAGTACCAGCAAAAAAGTTCTAATTTAATATTAGTCTTTAAAATTCTTTGTATTATTATATGTATCTGAACCCCAAATTTTTTGGTTTTTACAAGGCAATCAGGAATGATAAAATGACCCTTCCACATTTCTAACAAAATTTGAAATACCTTTATACATTCCAGATAATATTTTGGGAGTCATATTCCAATGATATATCATTTTATAAAACTTCTCTTTTAAATTATAAGGTAATGTGATTCTTTCAACCACTGTTCAAACAATATGTTATAACCAAAGTTCATAGCCCTTTTTATCATACAGCCTATCACTTATTCTTCCTATGTTTTGAATTTCAGCAAAAGTTTACAATTTCAGCGATTATAATATTGAACAATAATTTTAAATTATTAGATTATTATTTAATAATTTTATTGAACAATAATTTAAATGTTACAGCTAAGGTCTAACCTTACCTTTTGCTTCAGTGAGACACTTGAGGTACACTTTAGTAGCCTAAAGATGCTCTAACAAATTTTTACTGAATGACATATAGAAACTGATCATCTTTATAAATACAAGATTGGAATTCATATAATAGGGAAGCTACCTTAAGTATAGTAGGGATATAGTTGCTGCCCTAGTAGAAAAACATAAAATAAAGGAATAGCTAAGTCTCCCAACTGATAGCATGCTGAAACATTGGCATTTCTTTTAACTTGTATTTATCTGAGCCAAAATACTTTTGATGATATAATAAATAAATAAATAATAAATAAATATAATAAATTAGGTACAGTTCAACATTGGATCAAAGAGCTATTTCTCATGTCTTGAAAAACAATCAAAATAAATGATTTATTATATATCTCCAATGACAACAAAGATAATTAAGAACATACGACTGTACTTCAAACATCTCATAATTCTAAAGAAGATCCTGACACAATTAAGTCATCAATAAAACCACTCAAGCAAAAGCTGAAAAAGAATGGGAGAATAATGTATCTTCATTATGATAAATATAGCAGGTAGGTCTGATCAAATTAAGGAAATGTCTAAGCAAATGTTTTACATTAGTGTTATTGCCAGTAAAGCTCATAACATTACACACACACACACACACACACACACACACACACAAACACAGAGAGAGAGGGAGGGGAGGAGGGAGAGGGAGAGAGAGGGGGGAGAGAATAAAGGTATTTAGGGTGTTTGAATTAAATGTCTGAATGATTTTTTTGTTTAATATGATAAGGATATTAGATACACACATCCTAGAATCCTTAAGATGCTAAAACTAAGGGGCATTTTAATTTTATAAAGGAAAAATGTCCTTCAAAAAGCATGTACTTTGGAAAAAATAAATTGAGAAGTTTTTTCAAAGTGCAATTTTATCAAGATAAATACTAATTTACAACCCTCCCCTAATTATTCCTCTAATGAGAAACTAATAAAAAATTGAAATCAATAAAAATAGGAATCCTTCTTCAGATTTATTTATTAAATTTATTTTGAAGTGACTTTGCATGGCTTAAAAATATGGTTTGATCTCAGAGCATAAACCAATAAAATAAGCAATCAACTATACTGTAAATTAGAAGGCACAGTGGCAATGCCTTCATGAAATACAAATGGTTTTGGCTGCAATTATGAAAATCCTTAATTTTACAGAGAGGAAAATGAACTTAGTACTGTTTAGAAGTTTTACAGCTCTACAACTGTAAAAACCAGAAGACAAAACAAGAGTAAGAATAAAACAACTGAAATAATTGTACTAGTACATAGTACATAGTATAATATAGCAATCACTGGCTCTTCATTTTAGAAGAATATGGTATGAAGGGAATAAGAAAAGTCAAATTTGACAAAGGAGATGCAAGTAGAAAATGGAAAAAAGATTGAAATGGCTGATTTTTAATAAGATATATTAATCTACTATGTAAAAGTCAAATGTTCAACTACAGCAAGAAAGTGAGTGTATCATATTCAACCTTAAAAACAATTACACTGTTATTAAGCAATTTGAATGTATAAATGATATGTATTAGGAAATGAAATATATTAGAAAAATATCAATTCTTTAAAAAATAAAAAAAAATCTATTAATAATAATAGCTCAATAGCACTCCTTTATAACAATAATGATTATGAATTTAATAATCTTAACAATTCTTAGATTGAAAGCAGTGAAATAAAACAAAAAACTAAAGAGCAACCTATTAGTAGCATTTTAAAATATATGCTGAATTCATAATTATTTCAATGAATTATACATATTGTATTAATCCAAAAACATATAAAGTTAATGTACTGAAACAGGAATTAAGATAGTGCTAGAACTTTTATGGGTATTTTTTGTGACAAATTACATTCATGGTCCAGGAGTCTTAACTGTGAAAAATGATCCTTAAAAGCTGAAAGGATTTAAATCAAGTCAAGTTTTAACAATTTGCACTTTATGTTTATAGTCTGAAGTCTTTAGTTAATGTTTTATAATCATTGTTTTCCAGGTTATTATTTTAAAAGTTCATTATCAATGTTCATTATTACATTTCCTTTCCACAATATGAAGTCCCAAGTGTTTAGGCATACAAATGTTTAAAAAATTATAGCAGATTATTGGCCAAGAATGACAGCCTAGCCGCTCATTCAATAGAATTACAAAACTTTGTAATTCTATCTCCTTTCAATATTACTTTTTTCTAAAAAAAATTAACATGTTCATTATTTATTTGTTGCCATCATCTTATATCGTACTTTATATAATGATATAAGCAAAAGTGAAGTACTTGCAATCACTAAAGAGTGGGTAGAGAGAAGATTAGATATAAAAGATATGAGAATAATTGTGTGTTCACACAGTATTTATATTTCATTTCCAAATTGTTAGACACATTTAGGTGTTTATTATATTGTTCTCCAGGATGCCTGACAAACAGGCAATTAATCAATTTATCTTTTTCTGAAAAAGGTAACAATACAGCAAAAGTCTTGTCATATCATCAAAAAAACAAAATGGAGACTGCAAAATACAGAGGCAGAGGATCTGCTTGCCAATTTATTCAATAAATAATGGCTTTTAAAGTTCTGCATATCCAATAGTTTTACAAGCAATTATATCTAACATGTTTGCTAGGCTGTTGTGAGGCATGTAATTATTATTTAGCTTATAGTAATACAGTTTATTTTTCTAAAATAACGAGCTAAATCTAACTTTTTACTTTATTACCTAATTGTTAATTTAAATGTTAAACCTTTCAGTTCTACTTTTAAATTTTATGTTTTTGAGATTAAAACACTTAAGTCTGAATTTATAATGCAGACCAATCTTCTCCAATCTTGTGGAATCCATAATTCTTATCCAGCATAATTAACGGCTTTGCTAGCTCAGGATTTGGGGATGTGATATACCTAAAAAATGCCACACTTGGGAAAGTGAAATAAACTTTAGCCCTTATCACTATGAGCAGGTCTATATTTAAGAAAGCTTGTGTCAATACTTCCATCTAATTAGAAGGGCTTAACTGAAAATATATGGCAAATCCTCACAACAATGCCACAGGCAAAGGGAAGTATGACAAAGATTAAATATCTCTCTTTAAAAAATGACATATTTCTGGTGGTGAACTTTGGAATGTAGACACTATTAAGAATGTAAATTACGGTTTAAAATCCTGACATACTCAAAATAGTAGGAAAAAAATCCATTTGCAAGTAAGGAAATGTTTGAATTTCTGTCACAATCTATTATTATCACAAAGCCAAACATTAGCAAAGAAGATAAGTTTAGTGTGGCTTTCTAGGTATTTCAATACTGAAGCACTTGCAGCTATTTTAACTCTTACACAAAGAATTGAATCATTTCAGATAATTACACAATTAATGCTCAGTATATGGGTGAAAAAATATGATTCCATCACAGGAAGAGAAAAGTAGACATTTAATTAACTAAATGGAGTTATCATGTGTGGATTAACTATTGCAAAAACTGAGAAATTTTAGAGAAAAAATGGGCAGACTCAATAAGGCATTACAAAGCTGAGATAGTTACCTCGTCTTGAGGCTTCAAAACTATCGAAGAGATTAATTCTCTGGATGTCATAGGTCAATGTAGTATTAGGCATCAGTGTTCTGTTTCTGTTAATATTGGTGACTGCAAACTTGAAAGCTAATTCTTCAACATTAACAGGTTCATTTTCCACCATTTCAAATATCCCCCCTGCAAAAATAGAGAGACAAGAAAAAAAAAGTTATCCTAATTCTAGTTTGCTATAAAATCAACAATATGGAATCCTTGGGTATCAAAGTGTTGAGCAGAACAGCATTTTTCAATCTCAGCAACTTTAAGATGCATGGACTTTACCTTCCAGAATTCCCTAACCAACATGGGGAACATCTTAAGGTTTCTGAGATTGAAAAACAGTGCACTAGTTAGCTCAAGATAGAGCATGGCTAGAGGGTCATATGCAACACACAATCAGCACACCTGTTGTAGCCTTCCAGAACTAGAGTGATGGGGTCAAATATGTAAAATATTTTGCACTTGGGGATTGGTTAGTTGGTTGATTAAAGTTCAACAATTCTGCCTTAAACCTTCATATGTTTAAGCTTAACATTTTTTAAATCTTTGAAAATGATCCACTTGGAAATGTATAACTTCACAGAATCATAGAATGTATAACATGTATAGTTGTGTATAAACTAATCCACACAAAAGCCGATTCTCAAATTTTTACTCAAAATACCATGGAAAATGAGCCAGATAAACTGACCCACATTTTTCATTGTATTTTGGTTAAAAATGTGAAGTCTGCTTATCTGCGGATGGGCTTGCAATGCAAGCATATATGATAAATACTGGTACTTAAAAAAATACCATATATACTCATGGATAAGCCCATCCATAGATAAGTCAAACTCAATTTTAGGGGGCATTTTGACACTGAAAATGACAGCCAATTCCACCAGATGATGGTCTTGCATTAACATTCTTCCCTATAGATTTACCCATTTATTATGGTCCTGCTCTCTGGGACAATAGAGACTAAGTCCACACCTTGTATGTGATAATTATACAGATACAGGTAGTCCTTGACTTATGACCACAACTGAGCCCAACATTTCTGTTACTAAGTGAGACATTTATTAAGTGAGTTTTGCCTCATTTTATGACCTTTCTTGCCACAGTTGCTAGTTAAGTTGTTAAATTTAAGTTAAGTGAATCACTGCTGTTGTTAAGTTAGGAACTCAGTTGTTAAATGAATTTGGCTTCCCTTTTGACTTTGCTTGTCAGAAGGTTGCTAAAGGAGAATCGAATGACATCAGGACACTGCAACCATCATAAAAATGAGTCATTTGCGAATAAGTTGGGTTTAATAACAGAAACAAAGATGATAATGTTGAGTTTAATAGTAAAAATAAAATGATTATGTTGGAATTAAATATTTTTTGAATGCTTATAATAGCGGTAATTATTTATATTTTAAATATATATCCATCTAAGTAAAAGAAAGAGAAAAATGGAATGATATTTGGTTAGGTTTTAAGATTTAAGTAATGGGTTTTTGGGATAATGGCATAGTTAAATAGATAGAATTGAGGGAAATAACTGAGTAAAATATTAAGTTGTGTTAATTGAAAATTAAGATTTGTTCGTGATTTGTATTAATCTGTGACCGGATCAATGCTTTGTTTTGGAAAAGATGTGATTTATGTTTATGTTTTAAAAAAAATAATAAAAAACTTTTTTCAAAAAAAAAAATGAGTCATTTGCCAAGTGTCGGAATTTTGATCAGGTGATTATGGTGATACTACAACAGTTGTAAGTTTGAAAAATGGTCATAAGTTACTTTTTTCAGCACTATTATAATTGTTATATTATATGAATGATAATCTGAATTATATGAATGATAATAAATGAATTGTTATAAGTCAAGGACTACTTGTATTTGAAGATTGCTAACATATTTCCTCTTCTACGTGCTAAAAATACTGTTTTCTTTTAATGCTTCCTCACAGAGCTAACTTTCATGCCTCTCACTTAATGGCCTTATTTTGAACTTCTTCCAAATGGTCATTGTCCTTTTTGAACAGTGGTACCCATAAGCAGATATAATTCAAATATCTATAATATCTATAAAGATACCAAATTAAAAAGGAAAAAATAAAAGTGGCTTCCAGAAGCTGCTTTTGATTTTCACATATCATTTACTCATTTAATGTTAATCACTAAAGAATAAATGGAATTTTTCAATCATTGATTCCCCATGTAAAATTTATGATTGACGTAATTTATATTTCTCAGACAAGAAAATGTAATCTTGTAATATATTGCAATGGACTTTGATTTCAGTATGTCCCATGAATAGAGTAGCATAATTATTAACTGATGCAGGAAAAAGAAAAGCATAACAGAATTGTAACTCTTCTATATCTTAACTTAATAGTAGCAGTATTAATAATACATAGGAGAAAACAAGTCTAAAAAGTTATGGACTGAATTTTCTTGCCTGTACATGGCTATAGATATATTTGTAATATTATTTCAAAGGTGAGAAGATAAATGTTATCATTTATTTTTTATATCTATTTTTTTTTTTTGCATATAGCACTCCAAGTGACTTACAGCAATTAAAAATACAAATTATGAAACAGCACAATTAAAACTAAAATCAATACAGTAATGCTAAAATAAATTAAATTAACCAAACTTGGTGAAAGAGAGAGGGTTTCATAATTTTCTTGAATATTGAAGATGTGGTGGACTAAGTAATTTCCTTTAGGAACGTATTTCATAGGCATTCACATCTCACAAAAGAAGGATCTGTCTCACATACTGAATATTCTGCAGCAGCAGATTCTTCAAAAGGGGCTATTATTATTATTGCGGTGGTTTGTATAACTCAGTATCATATATAATGCTCCTACCCTCGTGCTATAATTAGATAGACAAGTTCACTGACTACTTCTCAGTCAGGCTATAAGCTATTTATGGCTTCAAGATCAAAATCAGCCTTTTATATTATATCTGGTTGGCAGCTGGTTTACTAATTCCACTGGCTCAGGAACAAGCACATGTATGGCTATACACGTATCAACGTGTAGCTATCCTCTTTAAGTCCAGTGATAGGTAGAGTCAAATATTCCCACATTGTGAATCTGCTCTTTCTAGGGGAGGGCAACTCTCTTCAAATATATTTCAGCTGAATTCCAAGTACATCTATCTCCTTACAAACATCACTTGTTTCATCTGGATTAATTTCAGTTTATTCTCCCTCATCCAACCCATTATTGAGTTCATGCAACATTAAAAGGTACATTGAAAGCCTTCTTGGATGGTAATAAACAATAGAACACTTCATCCCAAAGTTTTTAATGATCATGCCTAATATTTTTATGAAGTAAACAATACAAAGGACAAAATTAGCCCTCAAATTGGGCTCATCTCCTTTGAGACATTATCTTCATTTTCCTTTTTGAAAACAAAAGGAAATGATTGATTTGTGTGTTTTTGTGCAAGTTAGAGCAAGGGATAACAACCAGCCCTTCTCAGATTTATGAGAACTAGCATATGAGAGGTCAGAAGTAAAGGATATGAGACCAAATGATTGGTCTATTGCAATTACACTACAGAGGTGTCAATAGTTCCTCCTACTACTGAGAAACAAGATGCTTAAGTAATTGTTTTATTTTATTTTTACACAGATATTACATACTTTTTAATTGATTCAACCAACTATTCTATGCCTTTTTTGCTAGATATCTTGGGAATTTTGTGTTGTCCTTTTCTCTTCCAGATTGAATTTTACCATTCTATTCATTTTTGAAGTTGAAGTCTAAATATTATCTAACAAAATTTTTCAAACAGTATGAACAACTGTATTCATGAATAAAAATGATACATGTTAGAGATTCACTGAGTTATGTTCCCCTACTTAACTGATCATTATTAAACTTCACCAGCAATATTTTTATTGTCTAGAAGTCTATGGTCTGTGGTTCTTTTAATGAGTAACAGACAAGTAGCTTCTGTCTGAAATGACATAAAGCAAGTTCATTATCCTTTTTTAAAAAGCACTGCTGAGAAATTTAGGAACATTAATTATGTCAGTTGAGCCACTGGGAAATATCTTCAGGCTTGAAAGTCTAATAAAAAAAAAACTCCAATAGGAATTACTAATCTTCAAATCCTATTAGACCATAGTAAAGCTTTAAGATCCTTTTAAAACAATCTGTGGATTGTGCCATGGCTCCAAGCAATCATTCTAGGCTAAAGTTACTGATTCAAATTTCATTTTATTCTGATTGTGTCCTCCCACAAATCTGAGTCAAAGCACACTTAAAGCAGGGATTTGGTTCATTTGATTTAGATTTCAACAGGCCCAATCCTTGTTCTATGTTCATACAGTAAAATGTGATTTGGTTAACAACCTTTAACTTATTGAAAGGTAATATTTTAAACTAGTATGGGTAAGTGTGCAATGTAAATGGCAAAATTACTTTAAATACTCATAGGATTAATGGAGGCAGCCTTGCAACTGTTTGTCTTTCATGTGATGAGGAAAGACATGTATATTTTGAGAAGTGCCAAATGAAATGTTAGGAGATGCTTCTCTAAAACTACAAATTTATAACTCTTTAATTCCATATTATACAGGAACTGCATGGAAGATGAGCCAAATGCTTCTGCTTTTACATTTACTTGAATACCCAAACTGCCATAAAAATCTATTTTTATAATTGGTATAGTTTAATTTGTTATAAATATATTGGCTTCTGTCTCAGCAGCACTTGACTTGGATGAGGTCACTCTGAAGTGTCCTGAGTTGCATGTTCCTGTCATTTCAGAAGTTAATGGCTAGTATATCAATAGAGGTGACACATTAATTTAATCAAAGGGTCAATGTTCATTTCCTCTGATGGGAACTTGATTGCAATATCCAAAGTATTGGATAAATCCATATAAATATTTCTAGACCATTAACATTTTTAACACATAAGATTTTCAGGTTTAATGAAGACATCTTTTCCCAGTAATACAGTACTTTCTGAGAAATCTAGGAAATCATTGCCTGAAATTGTGGGATCATTTTTTTTAATCATTCAATCCATGTGCCTGACTTCTGCAGCTGTGAGCCTATGTCGTCTTGATCCTGCCTGTGTAGTTTCTTTTTGTTTTTCTCTTTATCTGATGACTATTCTGAAATAAGCAAGATACCT